AAAAAAAAAAAAAAAGGAATGGGAGGAGAGGAGTCCTCATTCTTCCTTTTTTCCAGGCCCACAGGGGAGGGGGCAGAGGGCCCAGGGCTATTTCCTGTTTTCAGAGGTGGATCAGCCTATAGCTTGGGGGCAGGAAGGCTGTAGCAGATAGGGGTGGTGGGGAGCTCCAGCCCTGGCAAGGGGCGGGGGCTGAGGGTTAGATGGGCCTGGGTCTCACCCAGCCTGCTCTCAGTGACTTGTCTGGGGATTGGAGTTCTCACCTATCACCCTGAGCCTGGGACTGCTCTGCACCTGGGCTCCCGTGTCTGTCCCCATCATCACATGTCACAGAACCCTTCCTGCACCTTATCACCTCAGCAGACTGGGCTGGGGCTCTCCATTCATTCTGTTATATGTCAGATATTCCTGAGCACTGAGCACAGTTCTAGACTCTGGGACACATCAGAGACCAAGATAGAGCCCCTGTCCCTTGAGGAGCTGACATGCTGGTAGGGAGAGAGAATAAGGAAGATAAAAACATCAAGGTAGTGCTGAGCCTGTGTAGAGAAAGAGCACGTGGCCAGGCGCAATGGCTCACATCTGTAATCACGGCACTTGGGGAGAGTTGCTTGAGCTCAGGAGTGGAAAACCAGTCTGAGCAAGAGCAAGACCCGCATCTCTACCAAAAATAGAACAAATCTGGGTGTTGTAGGGACACCTATAGTCCCAGCTACTCAGGAGGCTGAGGCAAGAGGATCACTTAAACCCCAGAGTTTGAGGTCACTGTGAGCTATGACAGCACAGCACTTTAGTCTGGGACAACAGAGCAAGGCTCTGTCTTCAAAAAAAAAAAAAAGCAGAACAGAGAGGTGGGGAGAGAGGAGGGGATGCTGACAATTTAGACCAGTTCAAGGGTGGAAGGGGCAGCAGGCAGTGCTCACTGCAACCAGATATAAAGGACGCATGTCAAGGTGGGTGTCTGGGGAAGTGTTCCCAGCAGAGGGAACTGGCGGCACGAGGGCCCTGAGGTGGGAGCAAGGTCGCGTGTTGGGAGAAGTCACAGGGTTCAGATTGTCCAGAGCCTTCCTGACTGCTGTGAGATGATGAGTTTCATCTTGCAGATGGAGAAACAGACGCAAAGGGTCACATGTCGGGTGCAGCCCTCTGGTCCTGGGTCCTGGCTACTGCCACAACACCTCTTTCGCTAGAGGATACTTGGGCAGGGCCAGACCCCAGGTGGGTACTCAGCCCTGGGTCAGGCCTGTGAGGAGGGTATGGCTGGAGCTGAGTGTCCTGTACCCCCAGGGCATGATCCTGCAGATCTCCGGCAGCCTGCCCAGCCTCAGCGGCATGGAGATGGCCTGTGACTACGGGAACAACTTCCGCACCGTGGCCCGGGTGCCTGGGCCTGCCTTCGGCCATCAGATCGGCCATCAGATCGCCTACTGCAACCTCCTGCCAAGGGACCGGTTCCCACCCTTCCCACCCCACCGTGGTAAGTACTCGTGGGCTGTGGGTACAGCTCTGGGAGGGGCATGATGGCAGAATCTCAGGCATGGGGGCTACAGGGGCTCCACACAGCAGCCTCTGATGTTGGTGGAGATCACCTGCCCTGTGACTTCTCCTGTCTCCCATCCATTCCAGACCATGTGACCGTGGAGATGTCTCTGAGGGTCAACGGGCGGAACATCGTTGGAGCCAATTTCACCATCTATGACTGTAGCCGCATGGGACAAGTGTACCCCCACACAGCGTGAGTGGGTTGGGGGGCTTATCTCCAGGTGGGAAGAGGAACTGCATCCCTAGGGAAGGGTCTTTGTTCTCAGGGAGCTCCTTGGAAGAAAAATCATGGTGTCTTACAGGTAGACAGGACTCCGGTCATTGACTCACCAGCTCATTATTCCTGCAGCAAACTCTTACCCCCCCCTCCCCCAGTGTCTGGATTCTGCCCAGTGCCAGGTTGGTAGGGGCAGAGAGAGTGCTTAATTACACTTAATGTAGTCTCCTGAAGGCCCTGCCAATCTAATTCCTCTCTGTGTATCTCTTGCAGCTAGGAACTCACCACCTTACAGGGTGCCCAACCCCTCCCAGGCAGCTCCAGTGATGAGACAGACCATTCCCTGTGCTGGGATCTGCCTTCGGGGTTCCTAGGGGCAGATGTGAGGGGACGGGTGGGAAGCCAAGCCTGAGAGGCCCCCTTGTCTTCCAGCTGCACCAGCTGCCTATCAACACAGTGGCCTTGTTTCTGGTGTACCAAGAAGCACACCTGTGTCTCCAACCAGTCTCGGTGCGAGGCCTCACCAAACCCCATGGTAAGCCAGGAGGGGAGCCCCCCTCCACCTTCACTGTTTCATTACCTTTTAAACAAATTTCGTACCTTTGAAACATTCCCATGTGTTTGCATGTTTATTTTTCCTTAGTCTTGGATTGAGCAGCTATGTGGGGCTCACTACACACCATTGCACATTTAACTGGTCCCCTATTGCTGGACACAGTACTCATCCCACGTCTCTTTTATGCATTTTCTTTTTTGAAGAAATAGGGTCTTGCTCTGTTGCCCAGGCTACGGTACAGTGGCACCATCATAGGTCATTGTAGGCTTGAATTCCTGGGCTCAAGGATCCCATCTCTTGTGGGCTGACAGCATGACTGAAGTAGCCAACATGAGGCCTAGTGCTTTACTCCCCACAGAAGGTTACGGGGGCCCTATTCTGGGCATGCACCCCAGGCAAGTAGCCCTAGTCCCAGAGCATCTGAAGCCCCAGCATCCTGGCACTGGGCTGAGGGAACCCTCAAAGCCAGTCTGTGCCCAGCGGTGCTAAGGAGGGGGCTGCAGGGCCTCAGCCTGGGCTCTGCTCTCGGCACCTGCTGCCTGATCCTCATAACTGCCTGGAAAGAGACTCCACAGCAGGGATACTTCAATCAGAGGGGGTGCATGGCCAGGTCCGGTGGCTCATGCCTGTAATGTTAGCACTGGTGTAATGCTCGTGGAGGCCAAAGTGGGAAGATCATTTAAGCCCAAGAGTTTAAGACTGGGGTGAGCTATTATGACGCCACTGCACTCTACCCAGGGCACTCTACCTGAAGCTAGACCCTGTCTCAAAAAAAAAGTCACAGTGATGTGGGCTTCGGACACTGGGGAGAGCCCTGTGGTGGGCATGTGGCTGAATCATAGGGGAGCCCCAACCCACTATCCTGGACCTCAGGATCCCACAGTCAGGGAATCCTGACTTTGGCTTGGGGACTCCATCTCAATCACATCTCTTCCTTCCAACCCCTAGCCCTAGGGCTGGGGACATGGTAGGGACTCAGGTATGTCAGAAAGAAGCACCCAGAGGGGTGGTAGGGCGAGGGGACCCAGCCTCATCACTTTTGAGTCAGAGTGCAGAGTGCCTTCTGTGTGCCTGAGGATGCACTAGCCACTGGGACGAAACCAGTTAGACATAGTCCTGCCGTCCCAGCAGGAGCCCAGACCCTCAGGAGTGAGTTGTGGCTGTGCCATCCTGGGCAAGCTGCTGAGTCCCTCTACACCTCTGTTTCACCATTTGTAAAATGGGGCATCTCAAGGGTCAGAGTCAGGATTTGGAATTGCACCAGATCCATTCATTCGGTCATTTGTCAGATATTCCTGAGCACTGAGCACAGTTCTAGACTCTGGGACACATCAGAGACCAAGATAGACCCCTGTCCCTTGAGGAGCTGACATGCTGGTAGGGAAGAGAGAATAAGGAAGATAAAAACATCAAGGTAGTGCTGAGCCTGCGTAGAGAAAGAGCATGTGGCCAGGTGCACTGGCTCACCTGTAATCACGGCACTTTGGGAGAGTTGCTTGACTCAGGAGTGGGAGACCAGTAAGGCGCCAGCTCTGTACCTGGCACATTGTACCACCACATTGCTTGGGAGCTGATGGCTACTCTGGGTGGGCTGGCCAGGAAGGACTTCACTTGAGAAGGGACCTCTCTGTCTAGTCTTGAGAGGTGCCTCGGAGCTCCCAGCTGGGTGGTGTTTTTGTGGCAGCCCCCACCAGACCGCTGTCCCCCATGTCTGCAGTTCTTCAGGTCAGAAGCTGGTGTAGGGCATGGAGGGAGCCTGACCATCATCTAGGAGCAGGAAAGGGGGCCTCTGCCTGGGCCTGGAGGAAGCCCTGAGCTGATGCTTAGCTGGACATTTAGTTAAGTGCCAGTTGACCCAGGAGGCGCCGTGCCTTTCTGGGCTGGGCAGTTCTCACCCACCAGGGCCCCCCAGAAGCTGGAAGCAGAAATGACCCCAGGAAGGGGGATGCTAGGACCTGGGTGTCCTGTCACTTTCCCTGTCCCTCATGGTCCCCACATGAAGGAAGTGGGGGTGCTCGCAATTTTCAGGGGCCTGGGGGATGTAGCCTCCCTGCAGTGGCTTCTGTAAGGTGGTGTGACATTAGGTCTTGCAAACAATGAGGGTCTGGGTGGATAGGAGGTGAGTCCCTGGGTGGAGGACACAGCGTGAACCATACCATGGAAGCCAGTGCAGAGAGTGGCTTAGTAGGAACATGGGGGAGGCCCATGGGGTGTAGAAAGGAAGGGAGGGACCAGGTCAGGTAGATTCAGGGTCCCTGGGTCACTCTGCTCTGCTGGATTGGGACACCAGCTCTCACCCCTCAAGCCAGGGAGAGAACATTTGAGAGCTGCAAGGACTCCTCCAGCCTCAGTTTCCCAGCTGGCCCGTGAGGGATCCATGCCCACCGCACTCTGTTCTCTATGAGCTCTGGCTGGGTGACAGGTGAGGCTCTCCGTGAACCATGTGTGCTGGGCCCACATCAGGGTTCACTGTGGCCCTGTCCCCGTCCTGTTCTCCTGCCTTCTCCGACCTGCCCAGAGTCAGCCGTGGTTTCTGAGCCTGCAGGCCATGGCCTGTCCCATGTTCCAGCAAAGGGAGTGGCCACTTGCCCTTTTGGGGTGTTGATTGCTGGGCTTGGGATAGGAGGGGTCCCAGATCCTTTGGTGGCAAGCAGGAATAGCCTGGCCTAGACTGGTTTTAATCCCTCAGAATTAATGGTGAGTGAAAAGTCAAGGTGGAATCAGGCACTGCTGGATCCAGGGGTTCCAACAGTGCCAGCAAGGCTCCCCGCCCCTCTGGGTGGGCTCTGTGCTCCAGCAGACATTCCCCTCCCTGCACTGAGATGGCCTCAGCAGCTCCAGGCTGGCTTCTGACACCCCTGCCCCCCAGCCCCAGGAAACCAGACAGCTTCTTTTTCTCACTGGCCCTGCAGAAGTCCTGTAGTTGGGGCTTGTTGCTGAATTAGGGTCACTTACGCTTCCTGAGCCATTTTCTGAGGCCAGGGTGGCCCTGGGCACCTGCCTGTCCCTGGGGATGGGGAGTCAGGTCAGTCTTCCCAAACTGCAGGCCTGTGGGGGAGGAGGTTCTCCCAAGGCAAGGCAGACACACTTAGCAAATGGTGGCAGCCGATAGCCTCACCAGCTGGCTCCATGGAGGTGTAGCAGACGCCCCGGGGTGAGATGAGGGGCAAGAACCGCAGGAGAGCACAGATATCTAGGGTGGATGCAAGCATCCAAGTGGCCATGGGTGACAAGTGGTCACAGGGAGTAGGATGGCACTCAGGGATGGCCCTATTATTATTCATTCCTCCCGCCCCAACCCTCACCCCCCGCCCCTGCACTCAGCCACCTACCCATGGGAGGGAGGATGCCGGGAGGATGGAGATGCTGGGCCCCCAGCCAGCTGCGAAGCAGACCTGGCAGCATCTGTGAAAACTGATTGGAAACATGTGGGTTCTAGTCCCTAGGATTCCATGGGGCTTTCCCACAGGACAGCACAGGACAGCAGCCTGGGGCCTGCTAGGAGCCTGGGATGGCTCTATCAAGAGGTTTCTCCCTGAATAGCTCCATCCTGTAGGTGAAAACACGGAGGCCCAGAGGGGCAGCACCTGTGTGTTCACACAGTGAGCCGGACACCAGCTCCTCCCACCCCACCCTTGGGGCCAGTCAAGGCCCCTGTGGTCTGCACCGGGTGCTGTCCCCCAGGAAACTCACACCGTGTCCTTGTGGCCAGCAAACTGGACGACCACAGCTTTCCTGTGCTGCCCATCCTACCATGGGCACAACACGGAGCTTCCCTGGGCTCCAGCTCCCTGGCCTGCAAAATGGGTGTGACAATAGTGTCCACCTGGGAGGAGATGCTGTGAATTAATTCTGTGCTGCGGGAGCTGCTGCAGCTGCGAGTATTAGCTTCAGCATCATTTATTATTTTTGGCATTGGCAGCCCTTGAGGTCTGGTTTTGTCCTGAGGTCCCTGAGAGGTCCCTGTTCTGCCTGCAAGGAGCTCCCTGTCTGATCTAGAATAAAGAAAAAAGGTCCTAGGAAGGCCCCAAAGTTTGTGCTGAGGCCCTTGGCCCTGGCTGGGTGACTTCAAGGGGACACACATGGCCCACTGGTGCCTTTGCTTCCTGGCCTGATTCTCACCCAAACGCTTCCCTAGCCTGACTTGGGCAGGAGGAGCACAGAGCAGGAAGCCCCTGGGCTGGAGGGTCCCTGCTGGGCTCCTTGGTATGGGTGTGGGTGTGGCTGCTCCAGGGTCCCCGATTCTGTCCTCGCTCATGGTCCCAGCAGGTCAGACTCTCTGGCTCACTGAGAGCAGGTCCAGGTGGACAGGGCAGCCACAGCCCCGCCCCCTCCCCCAGGCCTCAGTTTCTTATTCTGTACAATGGGGCATGGAGCCTAGGAGCCTGGAGACAGCAGTCCCCAAATCAGGCCTCCAGTCTCCAGCAGCAGGGCACAGGCCCAGAGGAACCTTGGAGTGAGACGTGAGGGGCTTCAGAGCCCAATCCTGCCCTCTGCCCTCTGCAGCCCTCACCCTTTTGAACCCCAGGACCTCCTCTCCCTCTGTCCCTCCTCCCTTTTTCCCTTCTCTCTTTCCTCCCTCCTCTTTAGTCCTCCCTTCCTCCCTCCCCTCCTCCTTCTTTCTTGCTTTGCTCCTCACCCTCCCTCCTCCTTTCCTTCCTTCCACGAAGCAGCCACTGCTCTGCTGGGCCTTAGAGACTCCACCTCCAACAAAGGGGACAATGACCTGTCACCCGCTATGCTGCCCAGGGCCTTCTTCGGAGTATCTGGGGAATAGCACCTTCACCCAGAGGCTGTGACACATACTGGGCAGAGAGGAGGGCTGTCCCCTCAAGCCTAGTGGTACCAGGGCCCTTTTAAATTGTTCTCCTGGGCCAGGCGTGATGGTTCGTGCCTATAACCCCAGCACTTTGAGAGGCTGAGGTTGGAGGATTGCTGAGGCCAGGAGTTCGAGACCAGTCTGGGCAACATATTAAGACCCAGTCTCTACAAATGTTTGTTTTTTTTTATTTTAATGGGGGGTAAGGGATTTTTGGGTTTTTTTTTTTTTGAGAGACAGTCTCACTTTATTGCCCTTGGTAGAGTGCTGTGGAGTCACAGCTCACAGCAATCTCTAACTCCTGGGTTTAGGTGATTCTCCTGCCTCAGCCTCCCAAGTAGCTGGGACTACAGGCGTCCATCACAATGCCTGGCTATTTTTTGTTGCAGTTTGGCCGGGGCCAGGTTTGAACCTGCCACCCTCAGTATATGGGACCAGCGCCCTACTTACTGAGCCACAGGTGCCGCTCAATTCTTTTTTTTTTTTTTTTGAGATAAGTCTCACTTTGTCACACTGTGTAGAGTGCTATGGCATCACAGCTCATAGCAACCTCAAACTCTTGGGCTTAAGCAATTCTCTTGCCACAGCCTCCCAAGTAGCTGGGACTATAGGTACCTGCCACAACACCCAGCTATTTTTAGAGACGAGGTCTCTCTCTGGCTCTGGTTCAGGCTGGTCTCGAACCTGTGAGCTTAGGCAATCCACCCACCTCAGCCTCTCAGAGTGCTAGGATTACAGACATGAGTCACTGCTCCTGGCCTCTACAAAATATTTTGTAAAAAAGAATTAAGTGGGCATGATGGTACATGCCTATAGTCCCAGCTACTGGGGGGTGGGAGGCAGAGTGAGGCAGGAGGATTCTTTGACCCCAGGAGTTTGAGTTAGCTGGGAGCTGTGACAATGCCACTTCACTCCAGCCTGGGCAATAGAACAAGATCCCATCTCTAAAAAAAATAAGAAAAATTGTCCTCCTGGAAATTCTAGTTTTCATGGCCGCTATTTTTCATGGGCTGTTCAGAAGCCTAGGGTTTCTTTTTTCTGAATTGCTTAACTCATGTCAGTTTGCAAATAGGAGTTTCACACCTGGGTGGAGTCTCAGAGAGTGGGCGCCACCCCTTGTCCTACAGTTGGGACGGGGAGGAGAGCTGGGCTTTGAACGCAGCCTCTCTGAGGCCAGGGAGCAGTCACAGAGGAATCTGGCTTCACCAGTGGGCAGGTAATTTTGTCTCTGCCTCAGTTTCCTCACTAATAACTGGGCTTGTAAGATCTGCCCTAGGGTCTCCATGAGGATCAAACTAGGCAGTGTGAGGCGGCCTGGGCACAGGCCCTGTGGGGACTTTGTCATGAATGTTTTCTTACCACCCAGCCTGCCTGGTGCCTCCCAGGGAGGCCAGATGGCATGGGGCAGGATGGGCTCAGTGAATCTTCCTGCTTCTTCTCTGAAACACCCCTGTATGTGCATGACCCTCCTCTTGTTTCCACCACAGAGACCCCAGGACTGCCCCCAGACCCTGCCTTCACCCCTGGCACCCGTACCCACTGGCGGCTCCCAGGACATCCTAGTGCCTCTGGCCAATGCTGCCTTTTTCCAAGTAAGTAGAGGCCGGGCCAGACTGGGGTGGGCTGGGAGGAGGCTGGGAGCATGCAGGCCAACTGTCCCTCAGGTCCATGATCATGACCCTGCTCTGGGCTGACAACTGATGCTTTGGCGCCTGTGTGGGCTTTGCTATTCTTTCTCTGAGTTTCCAAGTTCCGTGTGAGAAAGCCCCACTCCGGTTGCACAAGGCTGGGAAAAGGGGAGTGGTGACAAGGGCCAGGCCCACAGCTGCTACGGCCTGGCCAGTGCCCCAGGGGTGGATGTTGGGACCTGCCCTGCCCTCCCCCAGGCGAGCCTGCCTGTGCAGTTCGTGGCTTCTGTGTCTTCCCTAGAGAATGACCAGAGAGCCCCTTTCCACCCTGTCCCCCGTTGTCCAACAGGAGACAGTGAGGCCCAGGATAGGGAGTATGTGATGCTGGTCATGCAGCCTGGGCCACACAGTGTGGACTGGACTGCGTTCATCCTTGACTGCCAACCCAGTGCTCTTCCCTGCACCCAGCTCTGTCCCCCATCAGGCTGGGGGGGATGGCACACAGCCCCTTTCTGGGCCCCTTCTGGAGGAGCGTGCTGGGTGGGAAGCTTTCACGTTGACGCTATCTGGAAGTGAGCCAGCCAGCCCTCCCCAGCTCCCAGGGACTCACCATCTGTCGCTCCCACACAGGAGCTGAGGCCCAGAGGGCTGTCACACGTGGGGGCCACGTGCCAGGCATCTGGGATGTATCGTGAAGCCTTGTGGCAGGGGCTGGGGCCTTGGGAGGCCAGGGAGGAGCCTGTCCTCTGCCCTCAAGCCCCACCCTTCAAGGGGCCTGGGCATGTTGGAAGGGCACTTCTGCCCCCCGAGCTACAGGAGCCTGGGACAGGGAGGCCCAAGCACTGCTCTGAGTCCCAGCTGATTCCTTCCAGCTGTGTCATGGGGCAAGTCTACTGTCACTGGGCTGCAGGGCTTCCTGCCCTCCTGCCCTCCTGCCCTCCTGCCCCCAGGCCTGCTTCTGGAACATTGAGACAAGCCTGGGAGTAGGGCCTGGGCTCTGCAGCAACCCTGTTTGCTGACCTACACCCTGGAACCCTAGGATAGGCTAGATCTGCCATCCCTAGACAGCCAAGGACTCAGACGATGCACCCTCTTCCAGATCAGTACAGCAGGGGATAAAATGGGCCTTTGGTCTAGTCATCAGCCACCTTCCTATATGAGCTTCCTGGGTGGGGCCCCAGAAAGGGGAAGATTGACTTGCTTTCTCCTTAGGGTGTCACATCTGTCACTGTCAGGCACATAAACAGGGTGCCTGTCATGCAGCTGGCTGGGGGCTTAGCTTAATACATGAAGCTCGGGTTCGTTCACTCAGCAAATATGTACTGTGTTTCCCCGAAAATAAGACACTGTCTTATATTTATTTTTTCTTAGGAAGACACACTATGGCTTATTTTCAGGGGATGTCTTCCTCTATGTGCTGAAATGCATGGCATGGCTATGCAGATCACACTCATCACTAGGTCTTATTATTGGTGTATATTTAACAAATGCATAGAAATCCTGCTAGGGCTTATTTTTTGGGTAGGTCTTATTTTCAGGGAAACACAGTACTGATGCTATTCCTGTGACAGCAAGATGAGACTGGGGAATTGAACCCTGTTTTTTCATTCAACAAACATCTATTGAATACCTCCTGCATACTAATAATAGCAAGCACATATTAGGCACCTACAGTGTGCAGCTCACCAAGAAACACAGTCTCTAGTTTCCCCAGCAACCCTGCAAGACAGGGAAGCCTATTCCATTTGTACAGTTAAGAAAAACTAAGGCTCAGAGAGAGCAACTTGCATAACATCACATAGCTACGAACTAGCTGAGGTGGGATTTGAATCCAGGCTGAGTAAGGTAGAACCTGAGCTTTGCCACCTGCTTTCTGCTGCCCTTGGAGGTGGGTATCAGAGGGGCCTTTTCCCACTGGCTTAGGAGACAGGTATAAACAGAATCGGGGCAAGGGGCTGAGCGTGGGGCCTGACACAGCTGGGGGAAGGCCTTAGGAGCTTCACAGAGTCCCCAGCACACACCCAAATAGTCATGCTGAATGAATGAACACTTCATCAAATGAGGGGTACTCTGATTGGAGGAGAGCACCTGGGAAGGCTTTGGAGTGTGGGACATTTGAACTGGATTTTGATAGTCGTGTTGAGTTTTGCTGGGTGGTAAAAAGGGAGATGGGCTGTTGAGGGGGAGGAGGGTGTTTGGGCAAGGGCTGGGGGCAGGAGAGTCTGTGCTGTGTTGAAGAGTGTCGGGTTTATCTGGGCCAGGGCCTTATAGCATAGAAGTGGGAAGGCTCTGGTTTAGGCCACTGTGGGATATTGGAGAGGCTGTTTTTTCTTTCTCTGAGACAGGGTCTCGCTCTGTTGCCCAGGCTGGAGTACAGTGCCATATCGTAGCTCACTGCAGCCTCTAATTCCTGGCTCAAGTGATCCTCCCATCTTTGCCACCCAAAGTGCTAGGACCACAGGCATGAACCATCGCACCTGGCTGAGAGGCTTTTTAGTGGCACAGAGAGCACAAGGCCAAAGTTCTAGGTGTTTGTTCACTCCTTGCCTCCTCAGGCATTGGGCATGATGGCAGGAAGGGAATTCTAGGGGGTGGCATGGCCCAGGCAAAGGCTCATTAGACCCAAGCCCACTTTTTAGGGCAGCAGTCTGTGAAGTACCAGCAGTTGTAGAGGGCAGTGTGTGCAGGCTTGGCTCTCTTCAAAACCCCTTTCTCCTCCCTGTTTCCTGCAGGGTTCAGCCCTAGAGTGTAGCTTTGGGCTGGAGGAGATCTTCGAGGCTGTATGGGAAAATGAGTCTGTTGTACGCTGCAACCAAGTGGTGGTGAGTGGTGTGGCTCCAAGTGAGAGGGAGGCTCCAATGAGTGGCCTGCCCAAGTTCAGACACTGTATCCCTTCCTCCCCACCCTGTCCACCTTGCCCTTTGGTTGTCCATCCCAACAGCCTTGCCCTCATCTGTCTCCATGACCCGCCTCACCCCCGCAGAGACCCGGACACCACCCAGGTTCCTCATGCTCTTTCCTATGCTTTTGCAGCTGCACACAGCCCAGAAGAGCCAGGTGTTTCCACTCAGCCTACAACTAAAGGGGTGGCCAGCCCGATTCCTGGACAGCCCTGACCCCATGACAGGTGGGGGCACCTCCACCCACTGCACATGGCCACACCGGACTCAGCACAGAGGGAAGGGCTCAACCTTGGGGGAGTCATTTTGCTGGTTGCCACACGGTCCCAGGACTTACCCTGGGGTTCCCCAGCACACAAGCAGACTTGGGTCTCAGCCCTACCATTCCACCAGGCACCATGAGGCCCTCAGTCATCTCCACACCAATGCCTGTGCAATTTTGGCAGCTCACTAAGCCTTAGCCTTCTGTGTCTCATGTGAGAGAAGGGCACTGTCACTTTACGGAGGGCCTGGTAGGGATTTGATGAGCTGATGCACGCCAGCCTTGAGAACAGTGTCTGGTGTAGTTTGTGCCCCCAAGTGGTGGTTGGTGCTGTCACTGGTGCCATATGTTTTGAATCAACCCTCTGGGGGTCCATCTGACTGTAGGGAATCTTAGACATTCCTGGTGGACCTGGGGGCCTCCAGATTCCCACTATTAAGACCATAGAAGCCAGACATGGTGGCCCATGCCAGTAATCCTAGCACTCTGGGAGCCTCAGGTGGGTAGCTCGCTTGAGCTCAGGAGTTTGACTCTACTAAAAAAAATAAATAAATAATAGAAAAACTAGCCAGGTGTTGTGTTGGGCGCCTGTAGTCCCATCTACTCAGAGGCTGAGGCAGGAGGCTCGCTTGAGCCCAAGTGTTTGAGGTTGCTGTGAGCTATGATGATGCCACAGCACTCAACCCTAGGGTGACACTGAGTGAGACTCTGTCTAAAAAAAAAAAAGGCCCCAGAACATTCCTGTACACCTGAGACACTGAAGGGCCTTCTCTGCCCTCCTCCTGGGGCCACTCAAGAGTTTGAGGTCCCGGAGTCCTCAAAACCTGTACTGCTCAGGGGCTCCTCAACATTCCAGAATCCCTGCTCTGCTGCTCACCTGCTGTGTGAGCCTGAGCAAGTCACTCCTCTCTGAGCCTCAGTCTCTTCTCTGTAAAATGGGTCTGATTAATAGCTTGCACCTGATGGAATCAGTAGCTCTCATGTTCCTGCAGAGAGAGGGGATTAATGCGGCTGTGGACAGACACAGGGCTTTGGAGAAGGTGCTAACAATCTCACAGAGTCCTGACCTTCAGAACCAGGACCTGCCTCTGTGGGGGACACCATAGTGACAGGGTGAAGTCCTCTGGATAGTCAGTGAAGTGGAGGAGACAATGGTAATGGGGGCCCATGCCACAGAGTTGGGCTGACCCGTGTTGCCCCGTGTCTCCCCTAGTTGTGGTCTACAACTGTGCCATGGGCAGCCCCGACTGTTCCCAGTGCCTGGGCCGTGAGGACCAGGGTCATCTGTGCATGTGGAGTGATGGCTGCCGCCTGCGGGGCCCCATGCAGCCCCTGCCTGGCGCCTGCCCTGCCCCAGAGATCCGTGAGGTAAGCACACCCCATGGAGACCCCTTGAACCCACACCCCCGTCTGGGCACACGCTCATTACCGCACGCAGGTCTCACATCCTCAGGGTCTCATGGGCACACGTGTCCGTGGGCAGGTACCCCCATAGGTGCATGCCTGTGGTGTCAGACAAAGTGCCCTGGCTCATGGAGTGGGGGCTGCGGTGGGGGAGGCAGGTACAGTGAACAAGGAAAGGAGTAAGTTGTATCTTATATAGAAGGTAATGAGCGCTATGGAGAAAAATCACGGACAGGGGCATCGGAAATGTGGGTGGAGGAGACTCCGGGGCTGAGTATCACTAGTTTTTATAGTGAAGTCCAGAAACCTTGGTAATTGAGGCCACTAATAACTCCTAAGCCTCTGTTTTAATTAAGAAAATCATCCAAGAAGTATTCTGGTTGTCTCAGCCTGGGGCAGATGACTACCTCATGCCTGGTCAGCTCTGGCTGGGACACAGGGTCCTGTGGTTAGACATGGCCACTGGGAGCCGCCCTCATTGTCCCCCGAGTGGCATCCCCAGACCCGTATAAGTTCAGTAACACAGGCATATCCTGTCGGCCGAATGACTTGCTATCTCAGCCCTCCCTGCACCTCCCTGGCTGCCTGTGACTGTGGGAAGAGAAGCCTCCTGGCCCCCCAGCCTCAGACCCATACGCCCTTCTCTGGTCACCTGGCAGATTGAGCCCCTGAGTGGCCCCCTGGATGGAGGGACCCTGCTGACCATCCGTGGCAGGAACCTGGGCAGGCGACTTAGTGACGTGGCCCATGGCGTGTGGATCGGCAGCGTGGCCTGTGAGCCGCTGGCCGACAGATACATGGTGTCCGAGGAGTGAGTAGCATCAGTGCCCCAGCCCCCACCCTCTCCCCAAACTCTGCTCCTCTCTGGGAGCCTCTGTCATTGGGGCCTCTGGACTTTGCTCAAGCCGTTTCCACCACTCATCCAGCCCTGTTCTGCTTGGGACTGCCTTCTTTATCTTTCCTGATTGGGCTCCAATGCCCACTCCTCTGGGAAGCCCCCCACCCCCATGTGCCCCTAGCGGCCCTTCCTTCCACATAAGCCTTGCTCTGATGGAAGTATTTGCAGCTAAAACTTGGGGGCGACCAGCCTTGTGTAAAGATCTGGGTTTGCAGCTATTGGATCTGTCCCAGAGGGGTCCCAGGAAGTGTTTGTGAGCAGGAAGGAAGTTGGGGTTCCTTTTGGGCAGCCCTAGCTCAGGCTTGTAGATGAGACCGTCAGTCTGCCAGCCAAGTAATCAGCTCATGGTCAGAGGCTATCTCATCCCCTACCTCTTGGCTTACAACTGTAGAACTATGGGAAACACGTGGGGTAGGGGGTGAGCTCCTGAGCCTGGCACCAGGGTGGCCCTTGAGGGTCCCCAGAACCCACTGCCTGCTCCTGCTGACCATAGCTACCTCCTCTCAGGATCGTGTGTGCCACAGGGCCAGCCCCAGGGCTGTTTTCAGATGTGGTGACAGTGAACGCCTCCAAGGAGGGCAGGTCTCGGGAGCGCTTCTCCTACGTGGTAAGGGGGGCTGCACCCTGCCGTCTGGCCCAGGCCCCACCCATACCCCTGCAGCCTGGCCGAGGCCTAATTGCTGCCTTCCTCCCCACAGCTGCCCCTGGTCAACTCCCTGGAGCCTGCCATGGGCCCCCAGGCAGGCGGCACCAGGATCACCATCCATGGGAGTGACCTCCATGTGGGCTCGGAGCTCCAGGTCCTAGTCAATGGCACAGACCCCTGCACAGAGCTCATGTAAGGCCCTGGGCCAGGCCCAGAGAATCCCACAGGGTTGGTGGGCTGGCGAGCTTGGGCAACATCCTTGTACCAAGTATCACCCAGGTCTTCACTGGCTATGTCCCCTTAGGCAAGCCCCTCCCTTCTCTGAGTCTCAGTTTCCTCTGGTAAGAACAGTCCCAGTGAGTTGTGGACAGTGCTCAGTGCCCGGCATGCCCCAGGTGCTCCATAAGTGACAGCTGAGTGAAATGATGACGCTGTACACTCTGGGATCCTGTGTCTGGCCCAGGGGTGTGGTTAATGGCAGGGTTATTGTCTGGAGCCTCTTGGCGAAATACTGTTGTTTTTATTATGTACTTACTATGTGCCAGGCCCCACGGGTGGGCATAGCTGGGGACACCAAGAGGAGCCCAATGTAGCCCTCAAGGGGAAGGTAGACACACCCATAGGAAATACAAACCTCCGTGGGCCCAGGATTGGGAGAAAAGTGCTTGAGGGCTCTGTTAAAGGGAGCAGAGATGAAGTTGGGACCAGGCAAGGAGGCCTTGAACCTGGGCCAAGCACGTGGGCCTGTGTCCTGGGGTGTGGGGGCATCGGCAGTGGGTGGCAGCAGGAGGGACCCCCCGCCGACAACGCCCATTACCCCGACAGGCGCAGGGACAGCAGCATCACCTGCACCATGCCTGCGGGGGCCCTGCCAGCCGCCGTGCCCGTTTGCGTGCGCTTCGAGCACCGGGGCTGTGTGCACGGCAACCTCACCTTCTGGTACATGCAGAACCCGGTCATCACGGCCATCAGTCCCCGTCGCAGCCCTGTCAGGTGAGGCCCAGACCCCCTCCATCCCCACTGGCCAGGCCTGGATCTCTGGAGCAGCGGGTGAGCTGATGGGTTTTGCTGCCCCCCACAGCGGTGGCAGGACCATCACGGTGGCTGGCGAGCGTTTCCACATGGTGCAGAATGTGTCCATGGCCGTACACCACATTGGCCGGGAGCCCACGGTGAGGGGGCCGGGACTGGCAGGTGGGAGGTGAGCGGGGGCCCTGACTGGCCAGGCCTCCTCGGTGACATCTGTGCACCCCCTGTTCCTTTCTGCGTCTCCTGGTCTCTGTCTTTCTGTCATGGGTCTCTCCCTGCCTCTCTTTCTCTCTCTCTGTCTCCGTAAACCTCACGCTCCCATTTCTCTATCCTGTCCATCCTGTGTCCTGGCCTTGGCCCCGGGCCCTCCCACACCAGCTCTGCAAGGTTCTCAACTCCACCCTCATCACTTGCCCATCTCCTGGGGCCCTGAGCAATGCGTCAGCACCCGTGGACTTCTTCATCAATGGCCGGGCCTATGCGGACGAGGTGGCTGTGGCCGAGGAGCTGCTGGAGCCTGAGGAGGCGCAGCGGGGCAGCAGGTTCCGCCTGGACTACCTCCCCAACCCGCAGTTCTCCACAGCCAAGAGGGAGAAGTGGATCAAGCACCACCCCGGGGAGCCTCTCACCCTGGTCATCCATGTGAGCGCAGCAGGTGCCGGGCAGACGGGAGTAAGCGGTGGGTGCAGCTGGCTTGGCGAGCATCTCCGAGTGCCCCCTTTTGCACCCACAGAAGGAGCAGGACAGCCTGGGGCTCCAGAGTCATGAGTACCGCGTCAAGATTGGCCAAGTGGCCTGTGACATCCAGATCGTCTCAGATAGAGTCATCCACTGCTCAGTCAACGAGTCCCTGGGAGCCACCGAGGGGCAGCTGCCCATCACAGTGAGTGCACAGGACGCTGGAGGTAGAGGTGGACCTGGCCCCCAGACCAGAACTCACTGAGCATGTGCACACCCAGTAGCTTAGGCAAATGAGGCAAAGCAGAGCTCTTCATCCCCACTTAACAGATGAGGAAACTGAGGCCCAAGAACTTAGTGACCTGCTAAAGTTCAGTGATCTGCCCATGTGGGCCTGATGGGGCTAGACTTTCCAAAGCCATAAGAAGTTGCCCCTGTCCCACGTCTTTCTGTCATGGGTCTCAGGGACCCATGGGAGGGACTGTCCCACCTACAGCCTGAGCTGCCAGTCATCAGGTAAAGGCCTGGAGAGGAGGGAAGCAGGAGGAGCAGAGTAGGTCCAGAAAATGGGATCTGTTCTGCGCTGTACCTACTTACACACCTCCTGTGATGAGGAGCTCACTCCCTCCCTGGCAACAACACATGTCCCTCCAGGACAGCTCCCTTTGGCCCACACCTCAGTCCCATGCCTGCCCTCTGAGTCCTCACACCCAGCTGCCCCCTGGTCCCAGGGCAGCCCTACAGATACTCAGGGACAGCATCCAGGCCCCGTGAACCGCCCTTTTCTGGCTCCTCTGCTGCTGCTTCCAGCCTATCACAGCCCCCACATTGACTCTCGGTTCTGTGCCAGGCCAAGGGCCTGACAAGCATCACCTCACGTAGCCCTCACAGTGTCCCCAGGAGGTGGACGTGGTTATCTCTATGTTATTGATGTGGCATCTGAGGCTCAGAGAGGTTAGATGACTTTCCCAAGGCCAGCGAGGGGAAAAGCTCACAGCAACTTAGGTGAAGAGCTGCGGTGCAAGTCTGTGAAAGCTTCAACCCCCTTCTCCCACCTCTGTGCAGATCCAGGTAGGAAACTTTAACCAGACCATTGCCACACTGCAGCTGGGGGGCAGCGAGACGGCCATCATCGTGTCCATCGTCATCTGTAGCGTCCTGCTGCTGCTCTCCGTGGTGGGTAAGGAGCCCTGCCCTCGGGACCCTTGGAGGGCAGACCTGCCCACCTTTCCCCAGGCCCTCTGAAGAGTAGCAGATAAGAGGGGTCAAGGTGAACTGAGGGCACAGTTTAGACAAAGGCTTAGAGGTGGGAACAGGTGAGGAACCCAGAGGCAGGGGCAGGTGCACCCTGGCAACAGCACCAATGGCTGGCAGATGGTAGATGTCGGAAGAACGTGCTGGGCCCAGGCCATGGGCCCTGAATGCCAAGCAGAGGAATTTAGAACTGTGTTCTCCAGTCAGCGGGAAGCTACTGAAGGCACTTTAAGAGAGGGTTGTTCAGGGAAGCTTGACCTACATGTCTGGAGGGCAATACCACTCTTAAAATAATGGTTATACAGTAACATGCTCAAGGTAGCAGAGAAGGTGCACCCCTCCTTCACTGCTGGAGAGAATGGAGAATGGCACGACTGCTTTGGAAAACAGTTCCTCAAAATGTTAAACGTACAGTTAGGCAATGACTCAGTGTTTCACTTGTAGGGGGTCTGCTTGAGAGAAATTATAACATGTCCACACAAACACTTGTTATTTATAACATCATTATTTATAATAACCAAGAGGTCCAAACAACCCCAGTGCCCATCAGCTACTAAATGGATAAATTGTGATATATCCGTACACGGAAACATTATCCAGCCATAGAAAGGAGTGAAGTGCTAATACCTGTACGGCCTGATGAACCTTGAAAATGGGATGCTAATGAAAGAAGCTGCTACATGTTGCGAGATTCCATCTTCATGTCCAGAATAGACAAATCCATGGAGACGGAAGCTGATTAGTGGTTGCGAGGGGCTGGGGCAGTGACTGCCTAATGGATGCGGGTATTCTTGGGGCAATAAAACGCTCTAAAATTAGATAGCAGACATGGTTATCTCTGTGTTATTGATGTGGCATCTGTGTACAACTCTGTGAATATACAGGGTGGCCATAAAGTTTTTGTGCAATTTAAAATAGTTTGAAATAGTTGTCTCTTTTAAATCGCGCAAGAACTTTATGGCCACCCTGTACTACAAACCATTGAGTTGCACACTTTAAATGGATGGATTATGTGATCCGTGTGTTCTATCTCAATGAAGCTATTTAAATAAAATGAATACATTCAAGGAAAAAATTCTAGATAAAAGGGGAAAAATACCATCATTAATACCCTGTATATTTTCATATATTTTTGGTCTCTTTTCTAAAAATACTGTATATATAAAATATTTTTATACATCATATATATATATATATATACACACACACACCCTCCTCCGGCACCAGAAAAGGATTATAACGTAAAATTGCTTCATAATATGCTTTTTAAAGTTTCTTAATTCACAAGTAACACCTGGTCATTGAAGAAGGAACAGAAAATGCCAAAAAGCAGAAAGAAAACAAATCACTCAGAATTCTCTCCCTCAGAAAAAGCCACTCTTTTTTTTTTTTTTTTTTTTTGAGACAGAGCCTCAAGCTGTCCCCCTGGGTAGAGTGCTGTGGCATCACAGCTCACAGCAATCTCCAACTCCTGGGCTTAAGCGATTCTCTTGCCTTGGCCTCCCAAGTAGCTGGGACTACAGGCGCCCGCCACAATACCTGGCCATTTTTTGCTTGTAGTTGTCATTATTCTTTGGCAGGCCCAGGCTGGATTTGAACCCTCCAGCTCTGGTGTATGTGGCTGGCACCTTTGCCACTTGAGCTACAGGAGCTGAGCCAGAAAAAGCCACTCTTAACCACTGTGTTACACACACACTTCTTTTTCTAAGAGCTGGTCATCAAGGGGTGCTTTGCCGGCCATTTTTCTGTGCTCTCTGCCCTGGAGGGGCTTGGTGCCCTGGGAGGGGGACCGCGGGGCTGAGGGTGCCTGGTCCCCACTCCACACTCTGCCCTGGAAGAGCTGGAGCCAAGGCAGTGAGCAGAGCCTCTTCCTCTAGGCCCCAGCCCTGCATACAGCAGGTGCCAATAAAGGCTTTCCAAAGGGCTTTCGAGGCCTGACCCTTCTCCGTTGCCCACAGCGCTGTTTGTCTTCTGCACCAAGAGCCGCCGTGCAGAGCGCTACTGGCAGAAGACCCTGCTGCAGATGGAGGAGATGGAATCTCAGATCCGCGAGGAAATCCGCAAAGGTAGTGAGTGGGGACTGTCAGGCCCGGGCCTGAGCTTTCCCGTCTGAGGGGTGGGCTCTCATCTGCTCACACTGCCTGCGTATCCACCAGGCTTTGCCGAGCTGCAGACGGATATGACAGACTTGACCAAGGAGCTGAACCGCAGCCAGGGCATCCCCTTCCTGGAGTATAAGCACTTCGTGACCCGAACCTTCTTCCCCAAGGTCAGCCTGGACCCTGCCAGCCTAGAGAGCCTGTTGCGCAGTGTAAAACCCGCACAGCTGTCCCCAGCAGTCCTGGCCACCTGCCCTGGATGGCCAAGGGAAGGGGACCCCAATTTCTCCCCCATTTTCATTCTCAGCTAATTTGATGTTTAACTGTGAAGCCAGTGGCTGGCCCCACTCTCCTGGGGTGCTGGGCCTGCCTCTCCCTCGCTGAAGGGCACGGGGGTGGCCAAGGCTGCCTGGCCAGCCTTTCTCATCTCTGGGACCCTTCCCAGCCAGGCTTCTCTTGGTCTCTACACCCCTCCTCCTGTTCTCTAGATTCCACCCATCCCTTCCATGCTCCCCACACCTCTTCTTGCCCTTTCGGGGCCACTGCCCTCTTCCGCCACTCCCCTAGCCTGTCTAGGCATTTGTGCCAGTGACCAGCACCTCCCTTGTCCCAGCCACATCCTTCCCCTGTAGCAAGCAAAGCAAGCCCATGTCTGACTGTTACAAGCCCCAGAGGCTCTTCTCAGCCTCAGGATGAAGCTCAGACTCCCATGGCAGCCCTTGACCGTGTGGTTCTTACCAGCCTCTCTACCTCAGTTTCCCACGCGGCACACTGAGCTGCTTTTGCATCCCCCTAAGCCTCACGACCTCTTGCATTGCCCCCACCAACTGCTTCCTTTACCTGTGACCCCTCCAGAGAGTCTACTGGGACACCCTCCCCACTCCTGTGGAATCCCAGGGCCTCCGGGCCTGGCCCTCTACCTCTTATTCTTTACATGAGGTTATTTCTGTGTCAGTTTCCCCCAGCAGGGTCCCACTGGGCCAGCCAAGGCCAGTGCCCTTTTCAGTTTGTGAGCAACCCTTGCATGCCAGGCAGGGGGGGCCTCCGCCCTGCTGAGACGCCAGGGGTCTGCCTCTACAGTGTTCTTCCCTCTACGAAGAGAGCTATGTACTGCCCTCCCAGACCCGCAACTCCCAGGGCAGCTCCCCGGTGCAGGAGACCCACCCACTGCTGGGAGAGTGGAAGGTGAGTACCCCCTCCATACATACGCTGTGCGGGCTGTTTCAGACAACCCTACCCACCCCGGGTCCCCCTTCCCAGATCATCTAATCCATTAATCCCAATCTTGGAGAGCTGGGAGTCATCTGTGATGATAAGGTACTGAGCCCTCTGTCCCAGGGGGAGTTCAAGCAGCCATTCAGGCTGGTGTAAGTACTGACCCCCCAGGCCAGGTCGAGAGGACAGAGGGTTGGGTCCACCTGCACACTCCATGCACCTGCTGCTTGGAGATTGGAAGGTGAGAGTCTCCCACCCTGGAATGCTGGGTTATCTCTTGAAATACCCTCTGCTAGGCCCCGTTTTTCAACTCAGCTCCCATTGTTCCCAGTCATAGGGAGTTAGGAGGCATCCACACTGGACGGCAGTGAGTTCCCCATTCCATGAGGCACACAAGCAGCCTTTCATGGTACCATAACCACTGGGTCCTAGGCCAGGCAGGGGCACTGGGTCCCTCTGGGCATCTCATCACCAATTGCTTCTGCAGATTCCTGAGAGCTGCCGGCCCAACATGGAAGAGGGTATCAGCCTGTTCTCCTCACTGCTCAACAACAAGCACTTCCTCATCATCTTCGTCCATGCACTGGAACAGCAGAAGGACTTTGCGGTGCGCGACAGGTCAGGCTGCAAGGGACTTGGAGTGGGCTGGGGGAAGAGCAGCCTGTCCAAGGCTGCAGAGCATCAGGTCCTGGGGCTCTGGGACTCCTGAGCTACCCCCATATCTCATTCCTTCCCTTCCTGGGCCTAGATACCTAAGATATGGGCTTATGGGGCATGGTGGTCACTGTCAATGTTAGCTACAGTAGTCCCTTCTCCAACCCCACTCACCCTGTCTGTAGGAGCCACACACACAGGCACACCTGGGGTCCCTGGGTCCAGGGACAAGGCAGCACTGAGGCCCTGGGACTACAGGTGCTGATGCCCACCATGCCACCTGCAGGTGCAGCCTGGCATCCCTGCTGACAATTGCACTCCATGGCAAGCTGGAGTACTACACCAGCATCATGAAGGAGCTGCTGGTGGACCTCATCGACGCCTCTGCTGCCAAGAACCCCAAGCTCATGCTGCGGCGCACAGAGTCCGTGGTGGAGAAGATGCTGACCAACTGGATGTCCATCTGCATGTACAGCTGTCTGCGGGTGAGGCGCTGGGCGGGAGATGGATCCCAGTAACAGCAGTGGCCACCACCTCCTCAGCTGTATCCTGGTAGATCTGATGTCAGATCTTCAGGCCGACTGCCAGGAGGGCTTGTCACATCTTCTGCAGATGTGGAAGGAGGGTCTGGGGCAGGGGCAGGACCATAGGACCCATTACACAGATGGGGAAACTGAGGCCAGAGGAGGCCGGGCCCACTCTCTGCAAGGGCTCGGAGCATGCTTGGAGCAGAACAGATGTTGTTTTGGGGGCCTTGTCCCTAGACGTTGTTTTCTCAGTCATTTAATCCTCCCTGGTGTGGCCTTGGGCCAATGTTCTGAATTCAGGGGATAAATGAGACCCCAGCCCAGTCCTTGAGTTCTCCTGGGCATACAGGACAGATGTATAAACAAATTAAAACATAGAGTGATAAAGGCTACACAGCAAATCTCAACCCATTGAGGCCTCCGACCTGGCCGCTGGGCTCAGGTGGCTTCCTGGAGCAGGTGACCTGAGGGCTTAGCGGGAATAAGCCAGGTACAGAGTTGAATGGGGAGGGTGCACCAGAGTTGAATGGGGAGGGTGCACCAGAGTTGAATGGGGAGGGTGCACCAGAGTTGAATGGGGAGGGTGCACCAGGCCTCGGGCCAAGGCTGGGAGGAGAGGTGCTAATGAAAGGGACAAGAAAGTCCAGCAGACCTTTCTGATGAGAGAGAAGACTGGAAAGGGCAGTGGGGCCAGGTGGTCAGGACCTTCTGTTCTGCCAGAAGGACACCTATAAGCCCTTTTCACACAATAGGAGTTGCTTGGGCCTGGTCTTGTACCATTATCCAGCTGTCCTATAGTGGCAAAGGCTGGAGGGTCATCTGGGAATTGCAGAAGAAAGGCAAAGGTCTGGCTGGAGCCCAGAACCAGGGCCTCCAATATCCTGGGTTTGAGTCCAGTCTTTGGCACAACCCAGCTGTGTGATCTGGGCAAGTCACTGCCCTCTGTGGGCCTTGGTTTCCTTCTGTCGAATGGGGCCCTTGCCTCCTGGAGAAAGGGGGCAGAATAGAGGCTGGGCCTCAGGGGCACCATAACCTCCCATGGGCTGTGGACCTAGTTGCCCTCGCCGCAACCAGGCCTTCCCCTCAAGGCTTGTTTCTCCCTCTAGAAAATAGGGCATTAGTGGCTCCCAGTGCTAAGTGCTAGACCTGGAGAATTGGATCAGGAACAGGGCTGGCTCTCCGCTTTCGTAATCTTTGCCAGATCTGCCTAATACTATTATGTACTCAATTTTTTCTTTAAATCAACTCACCATGTTTACTTGGATACCCACCCCAGTGGAACACCTGGCTCATTAGCTAAACAGTGACCGTGAGAATCAGCTTGCGTCTGTGGGTGGTGGCTGAGCCCCTTTCTGTCGAGGTGCACTTTTGACATTGGGAGATGGGTATTAGCAGAGTGTGGAGCCCTGATTTGGCCTGAGACTCTCCACAGTCATCGGACCATCATCTGGGTCAAGGCCACATCTGTGTTCTGGTTCAACTACTTAGTAGAAAGGAGTCATGGGCTTGGCAGTCAGCTGGTCCAGAGTTCGAGTCCAGCTCTACCACTTCCCAGGCTGAGTGATCCTGGGCAAATTGCTTGCCCTCTCTGAACCTTGGTATTGTTGGTTGCACAGTGAGGAGGGGTTGCTGGGATGATGAAACGAATGGACTTGCCCATCGTGGTGATATTTAATAAACACGAGCTTAGAGTCTGGGGAGACACTGTAGGGGTGTGGTATTGACACCAGAGTCCAATTCAAAAGGAGGATGTTAAACAGGTAACCATGGGATGATGGAGGGGGTAGTGAAGGCATTTGCTGGGAGGCAGTGAGGGGCTGAGTCTTGGCCCCTGACAGCCCCATGCCCACCCAGGAGACAGTGGGGGAGCCGTTCTTCCTGCTCCTGTGTGCCATCAAACAGCAGATCAACAAGGGCTCCATCGACGCCATCACTGGCAAGGCCCGCTACACGCTCAATGAGGAGTGGCTGCTGCGGGAGAACATCGAGGCCAAGCCCCGGGTGAGGGGGAAGGGGCTGGGAGGGTCCACAGGCCAGGCTAGTCAGCCTCCTCCTTGACGCAGCCCCCTGGGCTCCAGCTGAGCCAGGGCAGCAGCTCACTGACTCTGTCCCACCCTCCCTCCCTCCTGCAGAACCTGAACGTGTCCTTCCAGGGCTGCGGCATGGACTCACTGAGCGTGCGGGCCATGGACACCGACACACTGACGCAGGTGAAGGAGAAGATCCTGGAAGCCTTCTGCAAGAACGTGCCCTACTCCCAGTGGCCTCGTGCAGAGGATGTTGACCTCGGTGGGTGGGGGCGGCGGCGGCAGGCCTCTTGGTATTGGGCCACTTCAGCCAAGGCTAGCCCTGCCTTGTCCAAAACACTCCTTTCACTCAGCACATGTGCATTCATTGGTGGCCCTGGTGACACAGATGATCAGATAGGTCTCCATCAGCAGGAAGCTTATATTCTCCGGGAGGAAAGTCCTGCAGTACAAGCAAGTTATGGGCAACAGCACAAAAGCATTCAGGAAAGGCTTCCCAAAGGAGGAGACAGCAGAGTGGGTTTTGAAGGATGCTTAGGAGTCTTAGTGAAGCCAAGAAGCTGATGCCATTTGCTCCTAAGCCCGTAGGCCTTTGTTGAGTAGTCCTTCTGTGCCTGGCCCTGTTCTAAGCATTGGCCTGTTATGGTGAACAGTCAGGCATGGCAATTGTCCATACAGAGCTAGGAACTTGGGGTCACCCACTGGGGCTGGCATGCAGGTGGCAGGCGGGCAGCTACTCTACCCCCTGGGGCCCAGAAGGGAAGAGTCCGGCACTTGGGTTTTGTCCTGAAGATGGTGGGTGCGAGGCCTGGGTGGTGCTTTTTCTTGTTTCATCTGTGGTTGTGACGTTATTAGCCCTGAGGATGAGGATTGTCCAGGGGTCCTGCTTGGTGCTCCACCCTGGCACTTCGCATCTCCACACCTTCTCCCCAGCTTTCTCCCCCTCCCCATCTCACACATGGGGCAGCAAGCCAGAGAGAGGCACAGCTTGCCACAGTTTCCCTAGAGCAAGGAAGCAGCCTCTCCCTGTGCGGCCAGGGCAGCACTGGCCCCTGGCCTGACCTCCTGCTGTGGCCCTGTGGGCCGGCTCTTTGCCCTGCAGAGTGGTTTGCCTCCAGCACACAGAGCTACATCCTGCGGGACCTGGATGACACCTCGGTGGTGGAAGATGGCCGCAAGAAGCTTAACACTCTGGCCCACTACAAGGTTCGGCCCTGCCCAACCCGGCCCCACCACCCCCACCCACGCTGACCTCTGACCTCCGCCTTTCCCCTCCCATCAGATCCCTGAAGGTGCCTCCTTGGCCATGAGCCTCATAGACAAGAAGGACAACACGCTGAGCAGAGGTAGCAGGCTCTTGTGGGGAGAGGGTCTAGACCGGGTGTGGAGGTGGGCGCTTCTATCCCATGCCCCAGTGGGGAAACTGAGACTCTAAGAGGACAGGCCTGGGCTGGGCTGTGTCCTCCTGGTGGGGTGTGGACGCTGGGCCGGCCTCCTCTGACCCAGTACTGCTTGGGCAGGGCCTGTGGCCAGACCTCCTCAAACTGATTTCCTGCGGCAGCTGGAGAGGCCCCAGAGGGCGGGACATGGTTTCCAGAGGTCTGGGCAGCTGCCAGGCCAGAGGGGGAGGCTGGTGCGCCCTCTGGGCTTTGGGCCGCTTCCCTGACTCAAGTGCCCCATCCACATATTCAGATGCCCCAGGCCTAGCTGCCCAGTGCCAGGTCCACAAGCCTGGGCTCTTCTGGGTCTTGGGGTCCCCTCTTGAGGGTGAGGGCAGAGTCGTGAGTATCCTGCTGCAGTATGACGGGCACCGTGCTGGGGGTGAAGGCAGCCGGCCCTGCCCACTCGGGGCCTCTCCCTTCTCCCTACGTGACTGTTTCTTTCTCTGTTTCTCTCCCTTTCTCTTCCTCCCTCTGTGTCTCTCTGTCATGTGCAAGTGTGTATCTCTGCCTTGCTCTCTGTCTCTCTGGATCTCTCTATCTCTGTCTCTCCCTGACTCAGTTTCCCTGCATGTCTCTGCATCTCCATCTCAGTCTCTTCACGTGTCTTTGGATCTTCCCATTTTTCTATTTCTCTCCCCCATCTTTCTGTCCCTTTTCTCTCTCCCCTCCTCTCCCTTGTTTATTTATTATGTGTGTTTTTTCTCTTGCAGTGAAGGACTTGGACACAGAGAAGTATTTCCATTTGGTGAGTGCTTGGCCTCAGGCCCCAGGGGATCCAGCCCCTCACTGGGTGTGGCCTTGGCTTTCTGCATGCTGTGCCTCTGGGAAAAGTGCTCCCAGGCCCTGGGAAGGGCTGGGGGTGGAGGTGAGGGGATGGGTGTTCATGGGTGCAGGACGACCTCTCACAGACAGCCAAGAAGGGTTCCTGGTGCAGGCACTGACCACTGCCCGGCTTCTCAGGTGCTGCCCACGGATGAGTTGGCCGAGCCCAAAAAGTCCCACCGGCAAAGCCACCGCAAGAAGGTGCTCCCAGAAATCTACCTGACACGTCTGCTGTCCACCAAGGTGGGCCTAGCCTCGGTCTTCCTTCCGTGCAGTGGGTACTGTGGGAGGTCAGTGGGTCAGCTGTACACAGGCCTGGCAAGGAGATGGGGTATGAGGGCTTTGCATTCCCCCCTATGGGGCTAGATGAGCTCTCAGGGCAAGAGGTAGAGGGCTTAGGGCCAGGCCTAAGGAGGCGTTGCTCACAGCCAGGAAAAAAGCCTGACAGCTTCTACATTAGCCATGTCACAGAGAGGATAGCAGAGGCCCAGAGGGGTTGGTGATGTTCCCAAGGTCACATAGCTCTGTGACAGTCACCCTATAGCTCACATTCTGCCTCCACCAATTCTCAACTTTGTGAGGCAGGTTTCACTAACCCATTTCACAAACAAGAAAACAGGCCCAGAAGGTTAGGGAACCAGCCTAATGCCATGTGTCTTCCCCATTCACCAGCCTGACCATGAAGGCTCCCCCGAGCCACCAGAAATACCCACTCACCCTCTGCACAAGGCTCTGGGCTGATGGTGGCCACCCCACTCCCCCACAGGGCACGCTGCAGAAATTTCTGGATGACCTGTTCAAGGCCATTCTGAGCATCCGGGAAGACAAGCCCCCACTGGCTGTCAAGTACTTCTTCGACTTCCTGGAGGAACAGGCTGAGAAGAGGGGAATCTCAGACCCTGACACCCTGCACATCTGGAAGACCAACAGGTGATGGGCAGGCAGCCAAGCGGGGAGGGCTGTGCAGACTTCACTGTATCCCTGACAGCTGTGGTGTGGCGATCTGGAACCCAGCCTCTAGCCCACCCCACCTGCTGGGGTGGGTCCCTCCTCTGCCATTTCCCAGCTGTGTGATCTTAGGCTAGCGATTTAACCTCTCTGTGCTTCAGTTTCCCCTAGCAATAAAACTAGAGCGATAAAGTAATCTCCTTTAATTATAAGAATTAACCAGAAGAGCACCCAGTGAGTGTTGCCTGGACTATCACTGTCCCACCTGTCTTGGGTGGGTGCCATCAGCCCCATTGTACAGATGAGAATGTGGAGGCTCACGGAGAAGCAGCACCTGCCTAAGCCTCAGAGCCCTGCAAGGACAGAACCAGACTCAACCCCACATAGTATGAATTCCATACTCAATTTTATAGCCCTCTTTTGAGGCACATCTTAGCTTTTCATGGTCATACTCCTGCACCATAAAATTGTTGACAACTCATCTTGACCCTCAGAAAAAATGCCACCAGTCCAGAAGTTGCTGTGCAGTTGCAGGAACTTTTCAGAGCTCTGGGGATCCATATACCTAGGCTGCCAAGTCCCTGGGTGGCCCTGGGGCAGGGTGAGGGTGTTACCAACCCTCTCTGGCCTCTCAAGGACAAGGACAAGGGCAAGGCTGCAGGCGCCATCCCCCCAGCTGCTCCTCGGTGGCCCCAGCGCTAATGCTGGACTTCCTGCTGCCTGCCAGGGAGGAGGAGGGTCGGGGGAGCCATGGGCTGCTTAGCGCAGCAGGGTGGGCTTCTAATGAGAACCAGGGCCTGGCCTGATGCTCCCTTGTGGGAGCTGAGGAGGCTTTGCAGGGGGGCAGGGGGCACAGCGAGGGTGAGCCATGGATGAGCGTGCTCGGGTTCCCAGAGGTCACATGGTGTGCCCGGGCTCTGCCAGCACTCAAGGGCCAGAGCCAGCTCCTCCTCTGGGGCCACCTGGCCTGCTTCCCTCCATTACTTCCTCTCCTGCCCTGGCTGGGGTGGGTGGGCTCAGACTACCTCTGCCACCCCTACCCACAGCCTTCCTCTCCGGTTCTGGGTAAACATCCTGAAGAACCCCCAGTTTGTCTTCGACATTGACAAGACGGACCACATCGATGCCTGCCTCTCCGTCATCGCACAGGCCTTCATTGACGCCTGCTCCATCTCTGACCTGCAGCTGGGCAAGGTTGGCCACCCCCAGAGGCCCTCAGAGAGATCTTTCTGAGAGGAGGAGGGAAGGGGCTCAGGTCTGGGGGCTGAATGGGTCAGACAGATCATTTAGACAGGGGAAGACACCCAGAGAGTGGAAACTGCATCACTGTCGACTGGCTGCACCTGCCTCAGGTGTGCCTGGTGCCAGCTCCAATAGCTGGTCCAGAGAGCCAGGTATGGGGAAGCCCGTAAGTGTGGACAACCTGCTTGGTTGGCACAACATTGAGCATCAGGCCGGGCTCCAGGTCAAAAGCCATTTGAACAGAGCATTCGGTAGAGGGGTGGGGGAAACAGGTGACCAGGACCTGCCGGAGGGAGACACACAAAGCCTCTGTCTGAGGGCAGAAGGTCCAGCTGGCCTTAGAGGGTTGAGATGGGAGGAGACAGCCTGTAGCAGAGGAGTGGCCTGAGCAAAGGCAGGGAGGGGAAGAGCCCTGGCTGCTATGGGCAGTGAAGAGCGTGCATGATCAGAGCTGACACTACAGGACTGGGGGCAGCACTGTCCTTCATTTAGCCCCTGCATTTTAGAGACAGCACGAGAGAAAAGCAGCCATCATTTCTCACGTTCTATCTCAGAAGGCAGACGCCCCTCACAAACAAAGAGCTGGGAGTGTACTTGGCTCTCTGCTTTCAGGCCTTAGAAGCATGTAGTAGGAAATATTCCACTGAGCCAGCGCTCAGGCTTCCAGAGATCTTAGCCACCGAGCCCTATAACCCCAACAAGGACACATCTTTGTTATGCCCAGTGGGCTGCGTGCAGCCGAGAGCTGGCGTGGAGCCCGTGCACTTTTCCCCCTAAAAGAAGGAGGTCCCACTCCGGGTCATTGCCCTGACAGTCCCAGGGAATGTAGGGCAGGGGTTCCATGAAAAAGGGCGGCAGAGGGAGGGGAGCGAGGCCAAGGCTGGCAGCGTGGGCGACATTCAGAGACACAGGGCACAATAAGGCCATTTATGTGGCAGGAGGGATGGGGACTTGTCCAGAAAAAGAGCAACTCTGCCCATCCTCCACCAGCCCTCTAATTCCCTCACTTTTCTCTGCCCAGGATTCCCCGACCAATAAGCTCCTATATGCCAAGGAGATTCCTGAGTACCGCAAGATCGTGCAGCGCTACTACAAGCAGATCCAGGACATGGCCCCGCTCAGCGAGCAGGAGATGAACGCCCATCTGGCCGAGGAGTCGCGGGTGCGCTGGTGTTCATGCCCTGGGCCTCCCTGCCCCTCCCTGCCCCTCCCTGCCCCACCAGGGCAGACAGCCCTTCTGGGGTGGCCACGGCTTCCTCTTATGTACCTGCAGCTCCCCGTGGCTTGTTTTTCCCAGAGCACAGGGATATTTCCCAGGGGGAAGAGGAGAGGAGAATTTAGGGTTCGGGAAGCCATCTTCTCCCCCAGGACTTGTGGGGCCTGTTTATTTAACTGGAAAATTGGTGGGGTTTGGGGGTTGGGTCCTGCTTTGACTGTTGGGTTAACCCCCCCACCTCCTGCCTTGTTTCTCATAGAAATACCAGAATGAGTTCAATACCAATGTGGCCATGGCAGAGATTTATAAATATGCCAAAAGGTATCGCCCTCAGGTAAGTCACCCGCCTGGGGCAGGTGGGCTTTCTACTCAATTACATTCATCCTGGGACGTTTGTACTTCATGCCAGTCACTAGTGGTGGACATTCAGGGATGTGTACTCCCCAAGGGCCGAGGGGGGACCCCTCCTCCCCCCAAGCTGTGGCCCAGCTGACCCTGTGACTCCCCTCAGATCATGGCTGCCTTGGAGGCCAATCCCACGGCCCGGAGGACACAGCTGCAGCACAAGTTTGAGCAGGTGGTGGCTCTGATGGAAGACAACATCTATGAGTGTTACAGCGAGGCCTGAGACGCACGGGCAAGAGCCTGTCAGCACTGCTGCGGGGGAAACAGGGTACCCGCCGGACCTGGGCTTGATCTTATGCCTAGTGTCCCTGCTTCTGGCTGGGAAATGGCTGGGGCAGGGGATGAAGGAGGGGCCACTCTGAGCCAAGCAGAGGAGCCCTGGCCCTGGCCCTTGGGCACCTCTGTCCCCTCCCACTTGCCCCCAGATCGCCTCTAGGATGGGGGCCATGAATGCCATAGCCAGTGCCTGGTAAGGCTCCCGTCTGCCCAGCTCAGCCTGGACTGTGCCCACCACTCACTCTGCTGAGAAAGCCCTGCCCATCCGGGTGGCCCAGCACAAATCCGGGCAGAGGAGGGCCCCTGGGGAGACTGCAGCCCAGAAACACTACCTCATCCAAACTGGTGCAGGGCGCCTCCTTGAACAGCCCTCGGTTAGTTTCTGCTTCAGCCACCAAAAAGTTATCTCTGTTTCCCCTCACCTGAGAGGACCTTGACCACAGACAGATTCAGCGTTTGATTTTTGCTGCGGGAGCAGCTACTGGTAGAGTGGGCCGTGCCCGCTGGCCACAGGTGGGCCCTGTGGGCTTCTCCCTGAGTGGGCAGGGGCCGAAGAGAGGGGACAAGTGCTGGAGCTTCCGGCCCCACTGAAAGGAGAGGGGCTTCCCAGGCACCAAGGCTGTAGCTGGGCTACTCAGTCTTGCTGGAAGTGTTTCTAAAGATAGCACCACTTTTTTGTTGTTTTTAAAAAAGCTTTTATATATTAAAAAACTTATGCGCCAACTGTGAATAGCTGCCGCTTGTGCAGAGGACCTGGGGAGGGGTCCTGAGAGGCTCCCAATGCAACACTGGAAACGACTGTTCCAGAGACGGGCAGACCTGGCAGAGACCCCCCTTAGTGCCCTGAGCCATCGCCAGTTCCGTCAGAAGCAACCTTCTGTGGCTGCTCCAGCCATTCAGCCCCTGCGCAGCAGAAACAGCCAGAGCTGGGATTGGCTGGAGGGGGGTGGCCAGGACTCTCTGGAATCTTCTTTATAATAAAAGCCTGACGGGAAAACCTACTGTGGGCTCCAGCCTTTGTCCTGAGACGGCCAAGCAGAGAATGGAGCAGCTTCTTCACCCATTTGTAATAGAAAGTGGGCGTGTGTGGCTTCTAACCCTGCCTCAGCCATTCTAAGGTTTGGGCCGACACCTGTCGCAGTGTTTGAGAAGGCAGGCAGAAACAGCGAAGGCTGTGTGTGCACCACAGGCCAGGCCCTGAGCCACCGTTCCATGGACTCTGAGGACACCCATGGGACCCCTGGGAAAATAGCACTGTTGCTCCCTGTCCCTTGGGGACCCTGTTTATCTTTATAACAAACCACTGAGGAATATAGTTTGTACACCTGTATAATGGGACAATATGGCGTCTCAGCAAGGTTGAGGAATTTCCCAGGCCACACAACCAGGAAGGGGCAAAGTGGGGACCAGGATGCAGGAGCCCCTGATTCCTCTGTCCCATCCTTCCTCCAGGTCAGAGTCCACGGTGGCCCCAAACTGTATGGAGAGGTTAAAAGTGAACACTCTGGAAAGGGAGCTGACATTTACACACCTGCCCTGAGTTTCTCCTTGAGCTTGGAAACTATATTAACCCCATCTTCCAGACAAGGAAACAGAGGTGGTGTCCCCAAACTTAGCTTAACCCTGGACTCTGTTCCCAAAAGGGCCTGCTGCTCCTCACCACAGCGCGTGAGGGGAGTTGACTTGGGGTCAGCACACACACCCCCTTCCCGCCCAGCTGTTGCCTCTGGCCCTGAGCTGGGGTGAAATTCATCCCCCACTCCCAGGAAAAGATCACTAGGGAACCCAGGCCCCAGATCAACAGCAACTCCACTTAATTTTTTCCCTTTATGGAGGAAAAATAGTTACATGCATATCTATTGAGAGCAAGAACTAGGACAAAAGACTGACAAAATTGAAACAAAATCCCACAAATACCAGTTCTAGAATTAATGAGAACAGAAAAGTAAACAACCTTTTGCTTTAAAAATAGCTTTTTCCTGTAGTGGCTTCTGGGTGGAGAGATTTTCTTTCTATCTTTCAAAATTTCTATTCTGAGCATTGATTTCTTTTTATTAAGCAGCAGATTCTCCAGTTTAAGTTATGGGCACATTTGATAGTGTTTGAGGGGGAAGGGAGAGGGTGTGATTCTAGAATGAATACACTTAGGAAGCACAAAAGCATGAAAAAAACACAAGCTGCCCTAACCCCCACGGTAAATATTCTCCAGAACACCACCCTACGCTGAGCGTTTGTGTGGGGGCGAGGCTGGGATGAGGAGTAAACTCAGGATCAGGGTGTACACACCGTTTTGCAACCTGAATTTTCTTCCCAACAATATGTCAGTAACATCTTTCTATGTCATTAAATATTCCACAGCCTGTCTTAATGTCTGATTAACATGCAATTCCTTCTTGAAATTTAGAAATACATTTGCGAATGGAGGAAGTCTCTGGTTTCCGAGGTCATTTCTCAGCCCAGAAGGTGGCCAACTTCCATGAGCCATCTACTATCCTTGTCTGGGGCCCGGAAGCTCACAAGCAAGGGGAGAGGGGTCCCTGACCTCTGAGGGTCCCAGGAGGGTGGGGATCCTGATGTAGCGTCCTCAAACTAAACTCCTTGTCAAAGGAAAGAAACCATTGCAAATCCGGGAGGTGACTTGCCCACAGTCTCATGGATGCCAGACACGCCTCCACCCCACGCCCCCAGAGGTGACTCCAGCAGCCCCATTCAAGCCATGTAGGAGCCAAGGCAGGAGCAGACCTTCCATGGGAAGTGCCAGCCCAGCCCCCACCTGCCGTCTGCTCCCAGTGCCCCTCGGGGCCCTGCTGGCAGCCACATTACAGATACCCCAGGGAAACTGCCAGCACAGCTAGACAAAGTCTCCTGTGGGCCTTCGGGGCACAAAGGGAGCAGACTGATGCCCCATGCTGGCAGCCTCATTTTCCCTCCCTGCCCCATCCATCCCCTTCTGAAGTCCCATCCAGCTTTGCTCTATTCCCCATTTAACCCATCCACCCTGCCTGGCTCAGCCATCACCTCCCTCCGGGCCAGGCTGAGTCTTCATCTCAGGAATGGTAATGTCTAGACCCAAGCTGCACTCAGCTTTGACCTTTCTGCATCCAACCCATCAGCTAATCCCACCCACACGGCCTTCAACTTCTAACCAGGACTCACTAGCCAGCCCCTCTCTCCCTGTGCAGCATCCAGCCTGGCCACTCCTCTCCCTCCTTCCCCAGGCTGCAGCAGGAGCCTCCTCACTGGCCTTGCCCACACCACCCCGCCTCTGCAACAATCCAGATAAAACCCAACGTGCTTCCTACTGGTTGACGAGGCCCTTCACAATCTAGCCCTTGTCTACCCTGTAGCCTTGTTCTGCAGGACAAACCACCCTGATCCCCAGTGGCTTAAAACAACAGAACCATTTATTTTGCTCATGAATCTGCAATTTGAGTGGGACTTGCTTGGCAGGAAGGGTCCAGCTAAAAATCCCTGCATGGTGGCACATCGATGCTGGCTAGTTGGAGAGCTCAGCCAGGACTGAAATTGGGTGCCTTGGTGCCACTCCACGAGCTGCTGGGGCTTCCCACAGAGTGGTGGCTGAGTTTGAGGAGTATCAAAAACCAAAAACCAAAACCCCCAAAACACAAGTAGAAGCTGCCAGTCTCTTAAGGTAAGGTGTAGGATCTGTCATAGTGTCATTGTCACTGTATTTATTTTTGCAGTTTTTTGCCAGGGCTGGGTTTGAACCCGCCACCTCTGGCATATGCGGCTGGCGTCCTACTCCTTTGAGCCACAGGCGCTGCCCCATTGCCACGGTATTCTATTGGTCAAGCAGTCACATAATCCATATTCAAAGATCAGGGCCACAGACTCCAGCTCTCCCTGGGAGGGGCGTCAGGGATGTTTGTAGAACACGGCAGACCTCGTCTCCCATGACTGTCCTCAGTGGGCTCTGTCACATGGGCCTTCTTATAGCTCCTTAAGCCTCCAACATGCTCCTGTCTTGAGCCCTCTGGGCCTTCTCTCCCTGTGGGCTTATATGGCTGTGCCCTTCAGACACAGGCCCCTGCTCAGATGCCCCCTCCTCAGAGAGGCCTTTCCAACCCTGTAAAACAGCAGCCAGCCCCACTTCTCCCTCCAGCTTTTCTCAGGGCCCAGGTACCAGCTGCCACGTAGGTTGGTCTATCCCTGGCTGAAGGCTTTGCCACCTATAGCAGTGCCTGGCCTACAGTCACTGAGTGCACTCCAGTTCCTCTTAGCGCTCTAATTTCTCCTTTCTGAAGCTGGAGGGCAGTTTCTAAACACATATGTCAGTCACCCCCTGCCTACCACCCTCCCTGGCTCCCTTCTAGCCCTAAGAGAAAGTCACTTCTGCCTGGCCAGCCTTCCCAAACCCCACCTCAGCCCAGAGGCTCAGCCCCACCCATACTGTACGCACCTCCCCTATCCACAAATGCCCGTCCTTCAGCCCCACCCCTCACGCAGTGCCTTCTGCCTACAATGCTCTTCCCTCTCCTCTCTGGCAACCGCTATACACATCCTATAAGATCAAAAGCTACCTCCTCCTGGAAGCAGTCCCAGCTCTGGGGTCTGGGTTAAACACCCCTCTGAGTCCTGACATCAGTGCCCCAGCCCCTCACATCACAGTCCATTGCCCCCAGGGCAGGAGCTCCTATCTAGGCCTCTGCACTGGCCAGGTAAACAGTAAGTGCTCAATGGATGTTTATGAGAGAATGATTGGCCAAATCCTTGAACCTCAGGCTCCACCCATACCAATTTGTGAAGAAAAAACAATTCTTTATTTTTATTGATAAATAGGTTACATAAAAATTGTACCCTCATATTAATTTGAAAAAAAAATACTCAAAAAAAGATAAATAGGTTACAATTAATTAAACAGCAATGGTTTGCGGGGGAATAAAAACTGTCTCTCTTTATCTCACCCCCGGCTTTATGCTTCGGCCTTCTTGCTGGACACCTTGGATGCCGAGGCCTTAATGGGCAGCCCAGGCCTTCTTGAGCCCACAGGGCCCTCTGTCTTCCTGGCCAGGTGTGCGGTGGCCGTCTTGGACCCAGTGCCCTTAGCAGGGGAAGCTGCCCTGGCGTTTGGTTTCTCCCTAGACCTCTGGGCAGCTGCTCCTTGAGGGGCCTTGGCTGTCATCTTCTTTTTGGTTGGGGAAGCAGCCTCATTCTTGACCTAAAGGAGAGCAAACCCAGGGCAAGATGACAGAGCTGGGCAGGGCTGAGCACACAGCTCAGATGGGCAGCATTGGTGTCCCAGTCCCTGGTGGCTTTGGACACCTAAGCTTCAGTCCCTTGACTGTGAAATGGGGATGGCAGCCACCACAGAGTAGAGGGCCAGAGAGAATAACCACCACCACCACCCCGCCGCCCCTCCGGGCTGCCCTCTGCAGTGGCTGGATGTAGGCTGCTCAGGCTCTGGCCTGTTCAAGGTGGGCAGCCAGACCAGGAGAGTCATAGGGGCACCTACCTTGCTGGCTGTGGGTTTGGAACTAACTTTGGTTTTCCTGTGGGCCTGATCATCTCCTGGAAATTGGAGGGAAGTGTCATGTGGACAGGAAGTTTCAGGGACTCCAGAGCCCCCTTCCTACCTGGATCTCAGATCCTCACTTGGCTATGTGACATGGGGCAAGTTTTTTTGCCACTCTGAGCCCTTGCCGCCCTAGTCTGCAAGCTGGTTATCACAGCATCTCTCTTCCGTGATGGTTGGGCCCTTCATCGGAATACTTGCTCCCTGCAAAGCACTAGGAAAGACCCCTGCTCCATGCCCACCCACGCTCTAGGCTCCTGACAGGCTTATCAGCCTCTATCAAGTCCAGTGTTTTTCAACCTTTTTTACACCTCATGGCACACTTGAACCTATAATTAAACTTCTGTGATACACTTAAATTGGGTTGATCAAAAAAAAAAAGAAAGAAAGAAAAAGAATATACTTACTATTCTTTGAACTTCTTTAAAAGGAAATTTTTTTGAGACAGAGTCTTACTTGTTGCTCTTTGTAGAGTGCTATGGCCTCATAGTTCACAGCAACCTGAAATTCTTGGGCTGAAGTGATCCTCTTGCCTCAGCCTCCTGAGTAGCTAGGACTAGTGCCTGCCACAGTGCCCAGCTATTTTTAAGAGATGGTATCTTGCTCTTGCTCAGGCCGGTCTAGAACTCCTGAGCTCAAGGAGCTCCATACACCTTGGCCTCCCAGAGCGCTGGGATTGCAGACGTGAGCCACTGCACCTGGCCCTTTAAAAATTTAATGATCTTTAAACATTTTCATGGTACACCTAAGATCCTCTCAGGGCACACCGGTATGCCATGGCACATGGTTGAGAATCACTGCCCTGGTGTGTCTTCCATGATGGCTGCTAGGATACATTTTAAAAATACTTCTAACCCCGGCTGCTCTCTGTCAGAATCCTTTTGTGGCTCCTCATTGCCCTCCAGGCTCCAGCTGCCCTTCGCAGCTTCTCCCTCCCTACACTGCAAACAGAACTATTTGCAGTTTTTATGCCCCGAGACCTTTGCAGGATTCCTATCCTGCTTGGGACACCTCCTCCAGGGGGGCTTCCCAGACCCCCGCCTCAGGAATGAGCCAGGCTCCTCATCTGTTTCCCCACTTCTTGTACTACCTCCCATGAGTCCTCTATAGGCAGTCCCTGGATTATGAAGGAGATAGCTCCTGGGGCGGCGCCTGTGGCTCAGTGGGTAGGTGCCAGCCCCATATACCAAGGGTGGCAGGTTCAAACCCGGCCCCGGTTGAAGTGCAACAACAACAACAAAAATAGCTGGGAGTTGCAGCAGGCGCCTGTAGTCCCAGCTACTTGGGAGGCTGAGGTAAGAGAATTGCCTAAGCCCAGGAGTTGGAGGTTGCTGTAAGCTGTGTGACACCATAGCACTCTACCAAAGGTGATAAAGTGAGACTCTATCTCTACCAAAAAAGAAAGAAAAAAAAGGAGATAGCTTCTGTAGGTTTATTCTTAAGTTGAATTTGTGTATAAGTTGGAACAAGTGCATTTACTCACTACCTGTGTTAGCCTCCATAAGTGTGAGTCAGATGTTTGTAACTCGAGGACTGCCTATATGCCGTCAAGCCAAGTGCTCTGGGCACATTTGCTAGATAAGCACACCCCCTTCCCTGGAGCTGGACGCTCCGTCCTGCCCCAGCCGCTGCTGCAAACCACCAGCCCCATGCGCCCCACCCCACTCACACACCCACCTTGGCTGCTCCTGCCGTTGACCTTTGACTTCTCGCTGAGCCTGCTGGCTTTAGAAGGGACCTGTGTGGCCTTGTCTGGCTTTGGGGGGGCCTTCCTAGCTTCACCGAGTTTTGCCTTGACGTCCGTGGCCTTGCTGCCGTTCCTGAGGTCCTTCTCCTTGGCTGCATGTGGTTTGGGAGGAGGCTTCCTCACCTTTCCAGGCTTCCTGGCTGCCTTTTCCACCTCACCCAAGCTGAGAGGGTCCTTCTTTGCCTCATTTGGTTTCTTGGGGCCCTTCTCCTTGGCCTCCCCAGTTCTCCTGGGGGTTCTTGAGGCAGCTGTCCTCCTGGACTGGACTTTCTTCTTGTGCTTGGGAACTAACTGGAGGAGGGGAGTATGGTGGGTGGGATTGAGAGCAGAAATCCTGGGTGTCTCCCATCCCTACACCCTCAGCAAGAGTCTAAGGAGGAGGCCCCATTCCAAACAAGGGGTTAAAAAGCTGGTCAGGGGCATGGGAACAAGATACACAGCCACTTCCTGCCTGACCATCCTTCTACCCTGTCCCCAGAGACATAGCCTACAGGTCTCTCAACCACCACCTACCCTGCCTTTCCCATAGATCGTGGCTGTAGACCTCCCCTGCCCCATGCCCAGCAGAACACAGGTTTTAAGGGAGCTCTGAGCTCGCACCTTCCTCCAGCCGCCTCCTCTCATCTTTACAATGGGGGCTGCCACAGAGGGCAGAGGATGTGAGGGTTAGGGACACAGGGACATATGAGGGCTTCTAGCAGAGAGGTGGTCCTGCCTGTTGAGTCCAGCTCTGATGCCACTACACACCTATCCCCAAATTCTCATGGCTCCCCATCCCCCACCAAGACCAGAAACAACCAGGACCAACACCAGGACCCCTGAGGCCCCTTGCTGCCTCCCCCTCCCTCAGCCCATAGAACCCTTCCTGAGCTCTTCTTCACCCCACCTGGCCCTGCCCTGACTTGAGTCCAGGCTCTAACCCACACCCAGGAGTTCCAGACCAGCACATGGTAAGTTGAGACTATTCCACAGTGTTCCACAGCAACTATCAGAGAAGCTACATGCCGGGGTTGGGCAAGATGCCGTGGCACAGCATAGAAAGACAGGCCCTATGTCTAGGGCCCTGGGGCTTTCCTGGTGGCCAACGGTAGTCATGATGCTAGGGTTCAATTTTGTCCCAAACCTGCCCTCAGTTCTGGCTGACCCTTCCAGAACCTCTTTACCGGGATGGGACTCTCTTCTTTTCAAGGGAGGAATGTGGGTTTGGAGCCAGAGAGAGCTGAGAGCAAACCCCACTGCTGTGGTGAGTTCTAGGAAGGGGCTGAACATGAAGAAGTGGTGACACAGTCCCCTGCATCTGCCAACACCCTGAGAGGCGTGAAGAGGGACACTACAGGGGACCAGGCAGGTGGGAACGGGGAGGAGCGGCCTTCCCGCAGGGGAGGGGTCTCTGCTGAGATGTGCAGGAAGAACAAGAGAGGACAGGAGGGCGTTCCAGGAGGCTGCCGCAACCCCGCAGAGGTGGGAGAAATGCTAGGGGCTAACGTTCAACCCACGTGCTCACTTTGAAGCTGCCGGTGGCCCCCTTGGCCTTGGAGTTGAGGGGCCTGGTGAGGAGGCCGCGGCGCATGCCGGTGGCCAGGGCCTGTTTCAGCAGGTACTTGAAGCGGGTGACATCCACCGTTGGGTACTTGTTCAGGATGTAGAGCTTGATGGCCACCACCGACGTGCCCCGGCGCTGCTCCCCCGCCTGCAGCGCCTCCAGCACCATGCGCAGCACTGGGGGATTGCGGCGCCCCACCAGGAAAGTGCTGTGGCCTGTGGACAGACAGCAGGACGTCACCAGAGGCCAGATGACCCTCAGGCCCAATCAGACTCAGAGCAGGATTTGAACAATCCAAATGTGTGTGTGGGTGGGTGGGTGGGGGGGTAACCAAATAAATGTGAACACTAGAAGGAAATACTGGATGATCTTAATAAGGATAATACTACTGCTTCAGGTGTGCAAATGGTATTGCAACTACTTTTTACAAGACTCTTTATCTGTTACAACTATAGCCAAGGATGAAGGAGGGAGGGGAGGAAGAGGGGAAGGGAGGGGGTGGGTCGATAGAGGGAGGGTTAGTAGGGGGACCACACCTATGGAGCATATTGCAAGTACAAGTTGGATCTATCAGGTGTAGTACACAAATGTCTTAATCCTGTAATTGGGTAAATGAGATGAAGGCTAAGTTGATTAGTAGGATGTAAGCACTCCAATCTGTTTGTACAAATAACACATTGAATCCCATAATGGCATAAATTCATTTATGATCTATGTACAAATGACTTAATAAAAAAAAGATTCTTATCTGTTAAAGATAAATACTGGGCTATTTACAAATGACAAGTCCAGTCCAAGATTTGCTTTGAAAATAACCCAGTTAATGAAACAAGAGTTGCCTCAAACTGGTGACAGTTGCTGGAGTTGGGTGATGGGTGCAGGGGGTGGGAGTCATGTAACATTTATTTTTGTATCTGAAAATTTTCATAATAAAACATTATGAAAGATTTTCACTCCTAGGTATATATCCAAGAGAAATGGAAACATGTTCACAAATTTGTACATGAATCTTCATAGCAGCACTATCTGTAATAGCCAAAAGGTAGACAACTGAAATGTCCACAGTGAAGATGAGTGAACCATAGACAAAATGGGTCTGATAGAAAGGAAGGACGCACTGAGACTATCAGAGGGGTGAAGCCTAAAAACAGGCTAAGTGGGCAAAGCCAGCACAAAAAGCCACTTACATTCTATGACTCCACTCATAAGAAGTGATCAGACTGAGCAAACCCACAGAGGCAGAAAACAGACCAGTGGTGTCTAGGGGAGTGAGGTGGGGATGTGGAGTGACGGCTAACGCACAAAGGTGTTTCCTTTTAAGGCAATGAAAAATATATATACACAGGCTCAGTGCCTGTAGCTCAGTGGCTGGGGCGCCAGCCACATACATCAGAGCTGGCGCGTTCGAATCCAACCCAATGCCAAACAATGCCAAACAATGACAACTACAATCAAAAAGTAAGCAGGCATTATGGTGGGCGCCTGTAGTCCCAGCAAGAGAATCGCTTAAGCCCAAGAGTTGGAGGTGGCTATGAGCTGTGATGCCATGGCACTCTACCCAGGGTGACAGCGTGAGACTCTGTCTCATAAAAATTATATTTGAGACAGAGTCTCACACTGTCACCCTGGGTAGAGTACTATGGCGTCATAGGTCACAGAAATCTCAAACTCTTGAGTTCAAGCAATCCTCCCGCCTCAGCCTCCTTAGTAGCTGGGACTACAAGCACCTGCCACAATACCCAACTAGTATTTTTAGTAGAGACAGGGTCTTGCACTTGCTCAGGCTGGTCTTCTGAACTTAAGCAATCTGCCTGCCTCAGCCTCCCAGAGTGCTAGGATTATAGGTGTGAGCCACTACGCCAGGGTATGAAAATATTCTAAAATTGATTGTGAAGATGGCTATACAACTCTGAATATACTAAAAGTCATTGCATACTTTAAACAGGTGAGTTGTATGGTATGTGAGTTATTTCTCAACTAGCTGTTATTTTTTTAAAAGTTTCGAGTAGGATCAACAGGTTGGGGACAGAAGCGTTAGAAGGTGTCAGTCACCACTCAGTACATAAAAGAGATTTAAATATGAAATAGGGTTTAAATATGGTAATTGTAAATAGTAGTTTCTTATCAATCTGCAGAATTTAAAAGCAAAAAAAAAAAAAGGAAAACTGGTTAAAATATATTGTAACCAATTAAAAATTTTTTTAATAGGAAAATGACCCACCTGAGGCTCAGAGCCTATAGCTCAGCAGTTAGAGTGCTGGCCACCTACACTGAGGCTAGAGGGTTCAAACCCAGCCTGGGCCTGCTAAACAACAATGACAACAACAACAAAAATAACCAGGCATTGTGGCAGGCACCTATAGTCTCAGCTACCTGGGAGGCTAAGGCAAAAGAATCACTTAAGCCCAAGAATTTGAGGTTGCTGTGAACTGTGATACCACTGCATTCTACCAAGGGCAACATAGTGAGACTCTTGTCTCAAAAGAAAAGAAAAGAAAAAGGACCTATCTGAGACACTAGATCTAATTCAGTTCAACCCCTGCCACTTCCTGGTCAGTAAGCACCAGCGTCTAGGAACATTCATTTTCCCAGGGGCCAAAGCCTGTGCATTGGTGGAGGCCTGGGTCACCCCTAGAATCTCAGAAGCTTCACCTTCCCCTTTGGACCTCAGTCTTGCCATCTATACAGTGGGAATGGGGGCCTCTAAGGAGGCCTGAGTCCTCCTACCTGCAGTGTTTTTTTTTTTTTTTTTTGAGACAGAGCCTTAAACTGAACCCCTGGGTAGAGTGCCATGGCTTCACTGCTCACAGCAACCTCCAACTCCTGGGCTCAAGTGAGTCTCCTGTCTCAGCCTCCCAAGTAGCTGGGACCACAGGTGCCCACCACAACGCCTGGCTATTTTTTGGTTGCAGCCATTATTGTTGTTTGGCGGGCCCAGGCTGGATTCGAACCCACCACCTTAGGTGTATGTGGCTGGCGCCTTAGCCGCTTGAGCCACAGGTGCCGAGCTACCTGCAGTGTTACAGGGTTTCCCAAGGGGTCCTTGGCCTGACCTCGGGTAGCCCCTCCAACCCTCCCACAAACCATTCCATCCCACGGAGCTACTTCCAAAGGTCTTTCCCCAGGCCTGTCCCCTCCCTCCCTCACACCTCATTCAGCACTTAGTAAATGCCTGCTATATACTAGGATGTATACATCCTCCCCTGCCTCGCCTAAACCTGCCCTCCATCTCCTCTCTCCTAGGAATACCCCCTGCTACTGCCCCACACCTGCCCAGACATCCAAGCAAGAACCCAGAGGCCTCCCCCACGGCCTCCACTCCACACCTGGCCATGAGCTTCTCTCTCTACATTCTGGCCTCTCCTCTCCAAACCCTTAGCCCCAGCCTCCTCCCACTGCCTCTTTCCCCTTCCAAAGCATTCTCACTGCATCTCACATCGGTCACCTCCCCGCTTGAGACCCCCGCCCCAAAGCTCCCCATTGCCTTCAGCTAAGAGTGGACCCACCTGAAGACACCATGGAGGCCCTCTGCCTGACTACCCTGCTCCCTTCCTACTGCCCCCCCCCCCAACACTGCTCCTAGACAGAAGGTCTCGGCCCCTGCTGTGTTCCCTGCCCCAGCTGCCCCTCTCCCACTGGGTCAGCCAGCAGTTTTCATTCATCCTTCAAGGCTCAAAAAGCACCTTGATTTTAGGTGGTGCCTGTGGCTCGAGGAGTAGGATGCTGGCCCCATACACTGGAGGTGGCAGGTTCGAACCAGGCCCTGGCCAAAAAAAAAAAAAAAGCACCTTGATTTGGGTATCTTTCTTGACTTCTCAGCCAAGAAGGAAGAATTTCATCATTGTCCTCCCTGGCACCTGGACCCCTTCCTCCCCCTAACCCCTGGAGCCTTTGCAAATATCCAGAACACTTCCCCTGAGCGAGAATTATCTATCCTTAAGGGCTTACCTCTTCCAGGAAGCCTTCTCTGACTCCCAGAGCGAGCCAGGGCCCCCTCACTTGGCTCTCTGGGTTACTGCCATTAGAACCCAGGCCATGCTACCAAATAGCATCTATTAATGAGGTAGCCTTCCCTGTCAGACCAGGAGCTCTTCAAGGGAATGAGCAGGGTCTGGTTTGCCTTGAGGGACATGCATATCTAGAGAAACCCTGAATAGTTTATTGATTAAAAACTGGGATGCCCAACCCTGGCCCCAGTCCCTCTAATTAGACTTCCTGCAGCTGCAGCTCTGCCCTGGAGGAAACAGGCTCCAGCTGGGTGGGCCTGCGCTGTTCACCCTCTTTCCCAGGGTGGGGCAGGCCTCTGCCCCCAGGCCCTCCCTGGCCCCTGCTACCTGTGGCATCAGCTCTTCTGCCAAACGGGCCGTTGAGCTCAACAGCTTCCAGGGCGGATGCAGGAGCCTGGCTGGGAAAGGGCAAGGAGGGTTGGGGGAAATAGGCTTGCGGGATGAGGAAGGGCTGCCTCCTCTTGCTCACCTGGCTTTTCAGACTCAGAGCTGGATGATCCTGCCGTGGAAGTTGAGGTGGTCGAGGTTTCGCTGGTGACGCTCCCAGGAGCCATCAGAGAGGCAGTTGCAGCTGACTGAGCCCCTGTTCCAGGCGTGACGCGGCTGGGCCCACCCGCTCGCTATATACCAGCAGCCGCCCACCCTCCAATTAGCTCTGATTGGGCTGGGGCCCTCAGAGCTGCTGATTGGGGCCAGAGGGGTGGGATGGGTCATGCCAGCCCTGCCTTCTACACGCGAGCCGCAGCTTTCCACTCACACGTGTGTGATTTGGGGTGGGTCACTCGACTTCTCTGAGTTTCAACCCCCAACAGCAAAATGATAGGGGCCGAGATGCTCTATCCCTCCCACGCCCTCTGCCCACCAAGGGCTGGGGAATTGAGGGCACCTGTGTAGTCAGGGTGGCTGCCAAGGCCTTCTAAAGCCACTGGGTGGGCAATGGCCTACCCCAGTATCTGCTCCTGTTTGCAGGCCACTGCTGGCCTCAGTTTCTCAAAAAGTAACAGTTGGAGGCCACCCAGGTGGTTGGCCCAGAGCAGACCTCTCCCCAGGGCAGGCAGCAGCTTCCCCTGAGGTCAGCCAGGCTCTCTGGGCCTGTGCCCTCCTTTTTATTTTGTTTTTTTAAGAAATAAATTATTAAGGGATGAAAGAACAATTTTTAAATAAAATTGCTTAGCAAAAGTCTTCATAAATAAGGACAATGTCCATTGGGAAAATAAACAAAGAATATAAATAAGCAATTCACCAGCCTAAAGGCTGATAAACACAGGAAAAAATAAGCTTAACCTCCTTGGCATCAGGAAAATGCAAATGAAAACGATGATGAAATACTATTTTTCCCATCAAATTGATAAAAATTGAAGTGTTGGCGAGGATACAGAGAGCCAGGCCCTCGCTGCCCCTGCCAGGGTGGAAATTAGGGCAAAGCCCACTTGGGAAGGTATTCCCTTGAGCCCCCAAACTCCACCTCTCTTGCATTATTTGGAAAAGAAAACAAGAGCAAAGTTAGAACTAACTTCCAAGTGAACTCCCCAGGGCCGACTAAATTACTCTCTTGCTGTGGAATACTCTCCAGCCGTCTAAAATGACAAAGTGGGTTAAAGCACAAATGAGGTTGTATTTCACACCCAGCAGAAGGACAAAGATTTCAGAGTCTATTAATGCTGAGTGCCAAGGATGTGATGAAATGTGAAGCGCTGGGGGTGAGTGGGCGTCCACCTTAGCAATTCAGCAGCATCTCATACCACTAAGGATGAGATTAGTTTTTTCTCATTCCGCAAACCACCCGTGTTGTACAGGAAAGGCAGAGGGGAAAAAAAATCAAGAGAAACTTACACCAACAGACAGGGATGTTCACTGCAATATCAGCAAAAATTCAGAACAATCTAGATGCATTAAGTGGAAAGCAGACAAGGAAGCTGTGGCCTGTCTGCACAGGGGGATAGTATACAGCGGTGAAAATGAACCGTGCAGAATGTGTCTGCAGAATATGCTCCACTTCTGAGTGTGTGTTGTGAAGGCACAGAGGTGTGAAAGGATTCATACCAAGGTGATATCGAGGATTACCTCTGAGGAAGGCAGAGGATTAAGGGGGGTGTGTTTTAAACAGACTTTTTTCACTAGTCTCCTCACTGTTAGCATTTTCCCAGAAGACTTTCCACCACCACAGGTCTGGTTTGAGGGAAGCTGTGGCTTTCAAAGTGTTCTAAAGTGAAATTGGACCTCACTCCTCTGCCTAGCACCTTCATGGCTCCCCTCTGCCCTCAGGTGAAAGTTTGAGGTCTTCAGTCTGACTTACAGATCCTCTTTCCCTCTTGAATCCTGTAATTCAACCATACCGGGGCTCTTGGAAGGGTCTATATGCTGGTATCTGGGCACTTCCCTTTGTGTTTCTTCTGTGTGTGTTAAATTGATGCAAAACTGGCTCCAGTTTTTCGCTTCTGCCCGCATCCTTGCCCATTTGCAATGCAATTTTGCAATTGCTCCTACATCCCTTGAATTTGAGCTGGCCTTGTGACTTGCTTTGACCAATGGAATATGGTAGAAGTGATGTTCTGCCATGAGGTTTGCATGGCCGTGTGACTGCTACCCCTGCTGGACATTGAGAGGCCCATGACTCAGTCACCCCTGTTGTCCAGCCAACAGAGTGTCAACCAGCCAGTCCCCAGCCAGCCCTCTAGCTGACCACAGGTTCTTGAATGAGCCCCGCCAAGATCAACCAAGCTTGGTCCAGAACAGCAGAACTGCATATCTGATCTGCAGAGTCATGAACAACAATAGGAGGTTTGTCTTAAGCCATGATCTTTGGGGGTTGTCACATGGTGCAAGCTAATTGATGCACTTGGCCTGGAAGGCCCCTCTGCCTTTCCTATGTCTAGCCTTTGTGTCAAGTAGGGAGAGGGGAGGGCTGTGTCTGTCTCATTTCTGGACGTATCCTGGGTGCCCCACACAGCACTGCACACCCAGTAGGTGCTCAATACCCACCGCTGTGATGCTGTGGAAGTCCCAGTGCCAGAGCCCCCCTTGGCCAGGCGAAGGGGTGCCCGTCTCCCAGAGCCACGCAGGAGCAGGAGATGAGGCAAAGAGGCAAATGGAAGTTGGCACAAACGGGGGCAGCAATTTTGATCACATTTGTGGGGCATTTCCAAGAATTGAGAACTAGAGAAACAGTCAGAGATATAAACATACTCATGAGCTACAGCTGAAGCCCTGCTCTCAGGCTGTGCCAGGATAGAATTTTGCATCCAGAGGGAAGAAGTTCTAAAATGTGCTGTGTGATCTAAAAATTCCTCTAGAGGATTGCCTTTTTACAGGGAAATGATTAATTCCGAGCGTCAGACTGCTGGAGAGAGGACAGGCTGCTTGATGTGCTTCTGCAACTTTCTTACGGAGGCCTGTGTAAAATTTAACTTCTACCGAAAACTTTTTTATCGTCATGGAACACTGAAGAGGATCCTTCCATGCATAAACTTTCTTACAGTCTGAAGACTGTAGTTCTGGACCTTTTGGGGCTGTTATGGGGTGTCCGTCTACTTTGTGTAACTCTAGCCCCTATAACATCAGAACATGTGTGACTTTTCTGTGCTGACTTTAGGTCAATAAATGTAGAAGGGGGAGGGTAGAAATAGTAACAAGCTGCTACATTTGACGTCCATGTAAATATTTTATATTCACTATTTTATTTATACATGAAAAAGCTGAAGTTCTGAGCTGAAGTTCTGAGGACCAGCCCTATGATCTTTCTGAATTCAGACCCTGGGCTACAGTCCAGAAACCCTGTATTAGTAAAGAAATCAGCTGTAACTCCAAAATAACAAGTAGCTTAAATTAGAAACCATTTCCTCCTGATATTCTCCAGGTACAAGTTGTTCAAGGCTGACAAGGCAGCACTGGAGAACCGGACTCCTTCTCTCTCAATGCTTTGCCATTCTCTGGCCTCAGCGTCTACCTCATGATCCAATATGGCTGCTGAAGCTCCAGTCACCATAACTACATTCCAGCTGGCAGGAAGAAAAAAAGAGAGGAAGTGCAGGACACTTCCAAACTCTGAAACACACAACCCAGTGGCTGCTGGGTTAAATCACTTCTATGTACCATCCAATACTGCTATAGGTGCAAAGGAAGCTGAGAGATACTGTCTTGTGCTAAGTAGCCAGGTGCCAGCTAGAACTTATGGTGATAGTAGTAATAGAATGAAAGGGAATGAACATTGGGAGCATTACTATCTACCTCCCCCCTCTCCTGAGGCCCCTGTTGTTATATTAACCTCCTTACATATCCATCTCCCATCACACCAAGGCCTGCCTCCTTTGAACTTGGTTCACACCACTGGGAAGGAAATTCACATTTACTGAACACCTAGTGTGCACAGCATTCTTTATGCCAATAATCTCATAGTCCCTTTAGACAAGCCTGTCTTTACAGCTGAGGGGCCAAGGCCTGGAGCTATTCAAGGACTTACCCTGAGACCACACCGGTGGTCAGCACCTTGGCTGTCGGTGGTGCATGTCTCTCTCCTTGTATGAGAGAGCTCTGTGCCCCTGAGGCAGGCTAGGTCACAGCCCAGAGACCTATCCCCTCCAATTCATCTCCAAGTCCCAGGGCATTGGCCTGGGGTTGGCTTCCTTAGATTTTATTGACTGGAGCTACCATTTGTATACAAAGTGGGTTCCATAAATCTGTTGGCTGCCCGGAGATGAGGTGGGGACACAGTTTCTGCAGCTGCAGTCAATATCACTTCCCTTTATATATGACAAGTTTCCCCCTGGACGTGTGGCTGGCACAAACATACCACCCTCAGAACACCATCACTTAGCCTGGGGTCTAGGAGAAGCAAGACAAGCTGCTTGTAAGAAAGGACAGCTGAGAGGCTACTGTGCTGCCCACTGCTCTCTGGACCAACACAATATCTGAAATGGAGATGGGACCTTTGGGACGATCCTGGAAACTCTCTCTCATGTTCCCTGTGTGGGAGGGAGGCCTGGTCTAGCCAGGCTCCTGGACATCACTGACTTAGAGTCTGTCCTCTCTGGGCCCACCCTGCCTCTTGCCCTCCTCCTTCTGATAAGAGCACAGCACAGGAATTCTTCTGGGGAACCTACCTCTCCCCACCCACAGGGACTTGGCTCATGGGAGGTTGACTCGGGATGCAGAGCTGAGTTTGTGACCTAGGTCCGGCCAATCAGAGGATGAATCCCCATCTCAGACATGGTGATGGGCTTAGGGGTGATCAGTTGACCCAGACCTGGCCAATCAGAGCCCTACCTAGGACCTTTGTTGGAACTGACAGGAAGGGGAAGCCTGCTTTTCACAGGGTTTGCTGAATCTGGGACTGCTAGGGGCCATTTCTGCTGCCCCTTGGGAGCAGTCCTGTGAATGAAGTAAATACAGAGGGAAGTGTGGCCAGAAGGGGAGAAACAGAGCTCGTCACATGACTTGAGCACCTGCATCCTGAAGCCCCCGATTTTTGTTTACATGAGCCAGTAAGGTCTCCATTTTGCTCCAGCCCATTTGAGCTGAATTTCCTATCATTTGTAACCAAAGGTATCTTTACTGA